AAGGAAAGTGATGATGTATTGACAGGATGAGAGGAAACCTCTATGTCTTCTGGAGAAAGGGAAAGGAAAGAAATAATGTATTTACGAGATGGAAGGAAACCTCCATGTCTTCTGGAGTAAGCGAAAGGAAAGAGATGATGTTTTTATAGAATGAGAGGAAGCTCCATGTCTTTTGGAGAAAGGAAGGAAAGAAATACATGTAATGTATTTACAGGATGAGAGGAAACCTTCGTGTCTCCTTGATTTGGGAAAAAGAAAGAGATGAAGGAAAAGGAGTGGAAACCTCCTATCAATACATCATCTCTTTGAAGTGAAAGGAAAGAAATGATGTACATTTGTATTTATAGAATTAGAAGAAACCTCCATGTCTTCTGGAGAAAGGGAAAGGAGGGAAAAGCTGAGACGATGTATTTACAGGATGAAAGGAAACCTCCATGTCTTCTGGAGTAAGGGAAAGGAATGAGACGATGTATTTATAGGATGAGAGGAAACCTCCATGTCTTCTGGAGTAAGCGAAAGAAAAGGGATGATGTATTTTAAGATGAGAGGAAACCTCTGTGTCTTCTGGAGTAACGGAAAGGAAAGAGATGATGTGTTTATAGGATGAGAGGAAACCTCCATGTCTTCTGGAGTAAGGGAAAGGAAAGAGACGATGTATTTGCAGGATGACCGCAAACCTCCATGTCGTCTGGAGTAAGCGAAAGGAAAGAAATGATGTACATTTGTTTTAATAGAATGAGAGGAAACCTCTATGTCTTCTGAAGTAAGGGAAAGGAAAGGGACGATGTATTTTAAGATGAGAGGAAGGGAAAGGAAAGAGATGATGTATTTATAGGATGAGACGAAACCTCCGTGTCTTCTGGAGTACGCGAAAGGAAAGAGTTGATGTGTTTATAGAATAAGAGGAAACCTCGATGTCTTCTGGAGAAAGGGAAAGGAAAGAAATAATGTATTTACGAGATGGAAGGAAACCTCCATGTCTTCTGGAGTAAACGAAAGGAAAGAGATGATGTATTTATAGAATGAGAGGAAGCTCCATGTCTATTGGAGAAAGGAAGGAAAGAAATACATGTAATGTATTTACAGGATGAGAGGAAACTTTTGTGTCTCCTTGATTTAGGAAAAGGAAAGAGATGTATTTATAGGATGAGACGAAAACTCTTTGTCTTCTGGAGTAAGGGCAAAGAAAGAGATGATACATTTACAGGATGAAGGGAAACCTGTGTCTTCTGGAGTACGCGAAAAGAAAGAGATGATGTGTTTGTAGAATGAGAGGAAACCTCCATGTCTTCTGGAATAAGGGAAAGGAAAGTGATGTATTTACAGGATAAGAAGAAACCTCCATGTCTGCTGGAGAAAGGGAAAGGAAAGAGATAATGTATTTACGAGATGAAAGGAAACCTCCATGTCTTCTGGAGTAAGCGAAAGGAAAGAGATGATGCATTTATAGAATGAGAGGAAGCTCCACGTCTTCTGAAGAAAGGAAGGAAAGAAATAATATATTTACAGGATGAGAGGAAACCTTCATTTCTCCTGGATTTAGGGAAAGGAAAGAGAATAAGTATCTATAGGAGTGGAAACATCCGTGTCTTCTGGAGTACGGGAAAGGAAAGGAATGATGTATTTATAGGATGAGAAGAAATCTCTGTGTCTTCTGGAACACGGGAAAGAAAAGAGATGATATATGTGCAGGATGGCAGGAAACCTCCATGTTTTCTGGAGTAAGCGAAAGGAAAGAAATGATACATTTGTATTTAAAGAATGAGAGGAAACCTCCATGTCTTCTGGAGAAAGGGAAAGGAAAGAAATGCTGTATTTATAGGATGAGAGGAAACCTTCCTGTCTTCTGGAGTAAGGGAAAGGAAAGAGACGATGGATTAATAGGATGAGAGGAAACCTCCATGTCTTCTTGAGTTAGGGAAAGGAAAGAGATGATGTATTTATAGGATGAAAGGAAACCTCCATGTCTTCTTGAGTTAGGGAAAGGAAAGAGATGATGTATTTATAGGATGAAAGGAAACCTCCATGTCTTCGTGGGAAAGGGAAAGGAAATAGATGATGTATTTACAGGATGAGAGGAAACCTTTGTGTCTGCTGAAGTAAGAGAAAGGAAAGGGATGATGTATTGATAGGATGAGAGGAAACATCTGTGTCTTCTTGAGTATGGGAAAGAAAAGAGATTATGTATTGATAGGATGAGAGGAAACCTCCATGTCTTCTGGAGTAAGGGAAAGGAAAAAGACGATGTATTTATAGGATGACAGAGAACCTCCATGTCTTCTGGAGTAAGAGAAAGGAAAGAGATGATTTATTTACAGTGTGAAAGCAAACCTCTAGTCTTCTGGAGTAAGGGAATGGAAAGAAATAATGTATTTACGGGATGAAAGGAAACCTCCATGTTTCCTGGAGACAGGGAAAGGAAAGAGATGATGTATTTGAAGGATGAGAGGAAACCTTTGTGTCTTCTCGAGTAAGGGAAATGAAAGAGACAATGTTTTTATTGGATGAAAGGAAACCTCCGTGTCATCTGGAGAAAGGGAAGGGGAAGAAACAATGAATTTACGGGATGAAAGGAAACCTCCATGTCTTCTGGAGTAAGGGAAGGGGAAGAAACAATGAATGGAATGAAAGGAAACCTCCATGTCTTCTGGAGTCAGGGAAAGGAAAGCGATAATGTATTTACAGGATGAGAGGAAACCTTCATGTCTCCTGGATTAAGGGAAAGGAAAGAGATGATGTATTTATAGCAATGGAAACCTCCGTCACTTCTGGAGTACGGGAAAGGAAAGGAATGATGTATTCATAGGATGAGAGGAAACCTCTGTGTCTTCTTGTGTACAGGAAAGAAAAGAGATGATGTATTTATAGGATGAAAGGAAACCTCTGTGTCTTCTTGTGTACAGGAAAGAAAAGAGATGATGTATTTATAGAATGAGAGGAAACCTTTGTGTCTTCTGGAATAAGGGAAAGGAAAGAGATGATGTATTTATAGGATGAAAGGAAACCTCTGTGTCTTCTGGAGTAAGGGAAAGGAAAGAGATGTATTTATAGAATGAGACGAAAACTCCTTGTCTTCTGGAGTAAGGGAAAGGGAAGTGATGATGTATTTACAGGATAAGAAGAAACCTCCATGTCTGCTGGAGGAAGGGAAAGGAAAGAAATAATGTATTTACGAGATGAAAGGAAACCTCCATGTCTTCTGGAGTAAGCGAAAGGAAAGAGATGATGCATTTATAGAATGAGAGGAAGCTCCACGTCTTCTGAAGAAAGGAAGGAAAGAAATAATATATTTACAGGATGAGAGGAAACCTTCGTTTCTCCTGGATTTAGGGAAAGGAAAGAGAATAAGTATTTATAGGAGTGGAATTATCCGTGTCTTCTGGAGTATGGGAAAGGAAAGGAATGATGTATTTATAGGATGAGAAGAAATTTCTGTGTCTTCTGGAACACGGGAAAGAAAAGAGATGATGTATGTGCAGGATGACAGGAAACCTCCATGTTTTCTGGAGTAAGCGAAAGGAAAGAAATTATGTACATTTGTATTTAAAGAATGAGAGGAAACCTCCATGTCTTCTGGAGAAAGGGAAAGGAAAGAAATGCTGTATTTATAGAATGAGAGGAAACCTTCCTGTCTTCTGGAGTAAGGGAAAGGAAAGAGATGATGGATTAATAGGATGAGAGGAAACCTCCATGTCTTCTTGAGTTAGGGAAAGGAAAGAGATGATGTATTTATAGGATGAAAGGAAACCTCCATGTCTTCGTGAGAAAGGGAAAGGAAATAGATGATGTTTTTACAGGATGAGAGGAAACCTTTGTGTCTGCTGGAGTAAGAGAAAGGAAAGGGATGATGTATTGATAGGATGAGAGGAAACATCCGTGTCTTTTGGAGTAAGCGAAAGGAAAGGGACGATGTATTTTAAGATGAGAGGAAACCTCCCTGTCTTCTGGAGTAAGAGGAAGGAAACAGATGATGTATTTACAGCATGAAAGCAAATCTCCATGTCTTCTGGAGTAAGGGAAAGGAAAGAAACGATGTATTTATAGGATGAAAGGAAACCTCCATGCCTTCTGGAGTAAAGGAAAGAAAATACCATGTATTTTTCTATATGAAAGCAAACCTCCATTTCTCTTAAGTAAGGGAAAGGAAATTAATAATGTATTTACAGGTTAAGAAGAAACCTACATATCTTTTCGAGTAAGCAAAAGCAAAACTCCACCACACTCCAGTAGTTTCTCAACATACACAACATAGGCAAACTCTTATGGTTTACTGGACCAAATCCATCAGATTCCACTGGCAGTGCTTCAGGCCTCCCGGCCCAAGTCTGTCATACCTCAACAAAAATTTAGTCAAACCAGCATGTCCATATCCACCAAAATCTACCAAATTTTTTTTTTTGTGGGGTGGGGGGAAGGGGACGGTGGATTTTGATGGAGTTGGTAGGAGTTGGTAAGGTTAGGGTTAACCCTAACCCCCTAGGCCCTTGTTGCTTACAACCATCCTCAATCCTCCAAAATCCTCCAAAATTTTCCAAAATTTTGCAACTCCGCCTAAATTTTTCAAAATTGTCAGACAGTCCTGCCTCAAAATGCATTCATCCTCAATCCTCCAAAATCCTCCTCATCCCAAAACTTTGCACTCGTGTTTAAATGAAAGATAACCAACGCCAAATCCTTCAAAATCATCAGACAGTCCTGCCTCAAAATGCATTCATCCTCAATCCTCCAAAATCCTCTTGTGCTTCAATCACCATTCATCCTCAATCCTCCAAAATCCTCATGTGCTTCAATCACCATTCATCCTCAATCCTCCAGAATCCTCATTTGATTCAATCACCATTCATCCTCAATCCTCTAGAATCCTCCAAAACCGCCAGGAGGATTTTGGAGGAGTGAGGTGGGTTAGGGTTAAAGTAAACAAGTAAAAAAATTTTTTTACAATTGTAAGATACATTTCAGAATACAGCAGTGATGTACCGGTATCCTGTTGGACAACTTACTGCTTTCCCAATGAGCCTTCCACATTCCTTGGCCGGGAACTCAAACTGGTAGAGCGTGGGCAACTCCCGCATGGGCTGTGGATGCTGCTGGGCACCAGTGCTGGTGGTTGAGCCCGTGCACCTGCCACTGTCCAAGGAAGAACTGTCGCTGTTGGTCTCGGTGCTCAGATCCGATCCAGCTACAGAACTACAATTTTAAAAATTGAAAAACAAAAAATGAGAAATAGATGCCTTCGAGAAAAATGCTGCAAGAATTGAAACGTCAGGCCCTCTGACTTTTTATGAAAATTATTTTTAAAAAGAGTACACTGTGAGTCAAACTCTTGCTCAAAGGTGCTGTCATATTTCTACATGAACTATGGATAGTCATGGTCAGTGACTGACTGACCATGACTATCCATAAGTCATGTAAAAATATCAAATGACTTCTCGGAAGATTTCTAAAAGTCACTGTCGTTGTAATACATGTATGTGGATGTTATTCACAGAAGTGAGAGATACATGTTTATGTAGACAAATTTACAAAATCCAACTTAACACTGTGTATTGAGAACTGACAGATTTTCTTGAGTATGTTTTGAGAGCTGATAATAGTTTTTGTTGACAAAAAAACCCAGACAGGCTCAGGTGGATTGCAATGAAAGGAGGCTCTAAAATCTCTTTGAAGAAAGGGAGCTACTTGTCATTGAAAACCTTATCTAAGTTACATGCGTGGCTTGACATTGAGACCCTGGATTGGAAAAATAACAAAATACCTGTAGACAGTCCCCAAAAAACTTTTCAAGTTGATTTTGTGAAAAATCCGACTGACCCAAGGAACTGTTCTTTGTGTGGATAGATGTCGTTCTCGTACCTTCTCTGTTGCAGTATTGCACCAACACAGAGGCACATGGTTCATTGGTTTACAGCTTTGTAAATATAATCCGGTTTATTTTCTACAGTGGGAATGTAAATGTACCATTCTACTGAGGTGAACTGGAAGGGTCTTTTGGGAAAATAAGCTACCCATACCCCTACCCTGCAAAATGCAGAACTGTGCATCAGGTGTATAAGTATGCATTGAGCCATCAACACCAGTGCATAAATGGGACATCTCTGAAACAATGGGAGTTAGTCCCATCCAACAATGCCACAGTTGTACTCTGCTGCAGTTGGTGACCACAGACTCTTGGGCAGTTTGGCCTTGAATAGTTTGACTGGATCTTGCTGCATTGGGCAGGCTTGTCATTTTGATAAGTGTTGCACGTTGCATGTTGCATATTTAGCAGAGTTTCTGGCTAGAATGCCTTAAGGGTTTTAGCAAAATGTGACAAACTTTTAGCTTGAATAATTTTTTTTAAATACCATGACATTCAAGGTAATATCTTACTTCTTCCTGAGAGTCAAACTAAGTGTTCAAAAATGTTTAATTTGCACGTGTACAATATTTTACAGAATTTCTCCCATTTTCCTGCCTCAAGCCCGTTCTGGATAAACTCTCAGTGCTGAGATTTGTTTTAAAAAGTTTGAGCAATAAACTCTAGAGATAGTTTTTTGGGTCAAAGTTTCATCTCTATGGTCTTTAACTTTTACATTGGATAATCGATATACCGAATATTCACATTGGATTTCCGATATATTGATTATTGAGAATTCTGATATCGACAGTGCTTAGTACACATTGCAATTGACAACGAGTTCAAGGGCCCAACTGCACATCAACTACACTATGTTTCTCACCCTTCAGGATGACTCTGCAAGCTCGTAGTTGGCGACACCAGGGATTCCTCCTTCGGTACCTCGTCCACCTGGTCCATGGCAGCGGCCCAATCAAGGGTCAGGGTGCCAGACTCGCAACGCTCCTGAGCATCACCTGGTAGAGTACTGCTGGGTGGAAGCGACGACTCCTCGGACATCTGCACCGACTGCATCACCGATTCCTCAACCGGAGTAATCAACTCTTCTTTATAACTGCTCTCTGGTGCAGCAGCTTCGTGCGTGTCCATCATTGCAAACATGTCTTGTGCTTCATCGCCTATCGAGCGCTGCTTGTCCCCAGTGCGAGAAAGGTCCTGATCGGATGACTTTTCAGTTGGTGAGACCAGCTCTTCTGCACCGATCCCGCTATCACTGTGCGAGGTCACTTGCAGGTCACTGTTTTGGGTAGTGGCAATCTTACTTGGTTCTTCTCGTTCTGAAGCCTTATCTTCCACAACTTTCTCCGCTTTGCTTTCTTGCTCTCTCCTAGCCCGTCGTTCTTCCTCCTTCCTTGCTGCTCTTCGCTTGTACAAATACACGCCTACTAAACCAGCAGTCAACGCCGTGCCGCACACGGCTACATACTTTGTGTAACGCAACTGCGCCATGTCTTTCACTTTTCAAGAAAACTCTTTTTTTAACAGAAAACAAAAATGCCAACTGGCACACAAACGACACTTCGTGAATTCCTATATAAAACCAATCGCTGTACAATCGGAAACTAAATCACCCACTCCTGATGGAAATAATTTACGTAGTATCAAAAAAACAGCAGAGGAAAAAAATGGAATATTTAAGTTCTCGAGTCTAGTACAGGCTGGCTTTGTAATAGGTAGACTGGCAATATATTTCGGTCCGATAATAGCCTCAGTACAATGTTTGAAGGTGGTCTTCGTCGGAATTGTGCGAAAACATTGGTGCTGTGATGCCGCTCTGTCATCTGCATTGCCATTAAGGGCCAGCTGTAGGGAAAAAGCAATACCAGCATAAGTCAGCAAGGTATTTTTTCTTTCTAAAAACCAAACGATACAATCAGAGTAATGCAGCAACGTACATGTATTCCTTTTCTGCACTATCTTTTCATTGTTTTAGACATTGAGAACATGAAGCTCATCTTTACAATTATTTCAGAAATAGTATTGAGGTTGAGTATTATCTTTTTAATTATACTGCAACTGCTGTGCAGGCTCAACCTCTAGGCTTCAGTTACTATTATCAACCCTAACCCCCTAGGCTCTTGCACTAGAAAGTATACCAAACCTAACAAATTTCAACAGCTGCATACAGGTCTGTAAGTACTGGTACCAAAACTGCCAAACTCCAACAGGCCTTGTACGGGGAACAGTACTAAACCTGCCAAACTCCAACTGTTGGAGTTTGATTGACTTGGTATTGATGGGCCTATGCATTGTCGAGTGATTGGATAGGGATGGTACCAAACCTAACAAAATAAAGCAATATATTTGAACAGAAGTATAGTGGGGACCCTGGGTGAGCGTACCCACGAAGAAATGCCTGTGAACTCCCCCAAACTCCAATGTACATGCACATTTGACCACAAACTGTGCCGAGGACCGTGGGTGAGCATACCCACGAAGAAATGCCAGTGAACTCCCTCAAACTCCAACGTGTTCACAAATCTCATGCCCTTCTGCCCCGAACCTCACAAAATTCAACAGGGTCTCCCTGGGCCTTTGGTACCCAGTCAATCAAAGTCCAACACCAGCTGGCCAGTGTTCGGTACCAACCCTGCCAAAATCAAGCAAAACCCGCTGTTGGAGCTTGATGGGCTCAGGGTTGTTAGGGTTAATGTCACATTTCTCAGTGAACTTTTGCAGTTACAAGTTACATCCCTGTTAAAAAATAGAATACAAATACCTCAACTTTTTCACGCATGACTATTTTCATACAACTTTGTCATCATGTGCAAGTAAAGTCTGGTAGGAATATCAGCGCATAAATTAAAGTCCATCAAGTTTTTTATCTTCAAAATATATGTCTAAATATGATTTGTGTTTTCTGCAAAAGAATTTCTTGTGATCCAAAAATGTTAGAAAGGTTTGGCAAGTGAATCCACTACCATGACTACAGGTTGCATCACACAGCATTAAGTCCAGGAAAGAATTCCATACATGGCCATCACTAATTTTTCCCTGCAATGACCTATCAACCGTCAGAAAGCGATAACATGTCCTAAAAAGTCAAACTGGAAAAAATGTTGCAACCGGACGCCACTTTTGTCTTCATATATCATCTCAATGAAGGTCACTCATTGCAAAAATGATGATAAGACCGTGAACCTGGGAGTGGGACTGAGAAACATATTTCCAATTTTGTTAGGAAATATTTTTTTAAAATTCTTGACTCTCCATAGAGTCAAAACATACTTTGTACACAATATTATTAATAGCGGAAGTGGCGTCAGGTTGCAACATTTTTCCGTCAAATTTAGCCGGGAAAATATTATTGAAGCTTTGACTGAAGAAAAAAACCCCAATTAGGCCCAAAAAAAAAGTCTCCGGTTTCTGGTATGCGCGCGCGTCGCCGTAGCCATGCGCGTCGGCAAAATGAAAAAGTTTTTTTTTCAATACAATATGATGTTTCAAAACCGCCAAACTCACTGGTTTGACTGGACTTCTGCTGCTGCACAATTTCTACGTGTTTTTAGATGGGGTTATGATCGAGAATAAGATTTATGTGGCCTCTCTGGGCTCCCATATATTTGCACTAAGTTTAGTCGGGCACCATTTCCAGTCATCAGCCGACATTTGAAGCCAAAAAAAAAAAAAAACAGGTAAAAAAAAAAAAAAAAGCCGCGTCGCCGCACCACTTTTGGGGCAAGCTCCATACCAGAAACCGGAGACTTTTTTTTTTTGGCCCTAACTTAGAAGTTTTCAGACCACTCTCGTACTGGTTTGTGCACTAGCAGTAGCAGACTAGGGTGTCAAGTGATTTCCAGGTATGGAATTCTTCTCACAGTCAGTTTTGCAAATTGCGCAACTAAAAGAAATAGCATGGAAATGCATTAACCATGGCATTAACCACGTACACGTCAGGTCAGGCATTTCAGGAGTTCAAAAATGCTGACATGAAAAAAAAACCTGATAAAAATAAGAAGGAAAGAAAAAGAAAGAAAAGGGACAGTTATAAAAAAAACGATGAATTATTATACATAAGGGGATGTGAATCCCTGCTACCATGGCACTCAATTGTTCATTATTTATAGTCTTAAAAATTATTTTAAAATAATGCAATCAGGTTTCAGGCCCGTCATTATTTTCATCACGCGAATTCCATCTCCATGCATCACGTCCATGTTGTTTGGGCATATGGTAAGACTCCACCAACATGCTGAAAACGCCACGTGTGACCGACATTACAACACTCATTTATCACGATATAAAATAAATGGCAAGACTATTACAACCAACACCGGAAGGAGAGTACACTTTGCATACGTAAATTGTTATAATTGCAATATTTACCTCAGTGCAAAGGAGAATTTTAGACAAAATTCTCCGCAACTTCAACTCAAGACCACTACCACGTGGGAAACTCAGCAACGGAGTAAGGAAAAGGGGGCACGGTTGTAATTAACACGGATACTATACTTTGGTTTAAAAAAAAGATTTTTGTGTGGATATTAATCAAATGGAGAAAATACCTTAAATGTACATTTTATATATAGTTTTAAAGTATAAAAATATTTTATTTCTTGAAAATTGTTGAAAGATTATGACCACTATTATACAAATTAACATAGGACTGTGTCCCCCTGGCTATTTAGGCATTTAACGGGTTCCGTGAAAATCCATGAGCAATATCGCATCGATATACACAGACAGAAAGATGTGATCCGCCCAAAACAGAGAGCTATCTGTCACAATTTCACTAGACTTCGAAATGGCAATATCACTTTCAAGATACGATATCAAAGTTTAGTTACTAGTCGCTTCGTATTTCAAATCTATTTTGAAAAAATCACTGACAATTTATGTTTTGGAGGATTATTTTATTATGGTCTTACAATCATCTTTCGAATCGGTTGTTATTTGGTCAAACCAAAACAAAAATACATCAGGCAAAAATATACCATTTTTTTGTAGGGGAAATGTAAACTATCCTACATGAAATAATCTTCAATACGTGTACAAATTATCCAATAGAAACGTAAACAGACCTTATTTTGTTTTAAATGAATACTCATATAATTGAGAAATATTCAAAATTTGGACTCCTCTGCATTACTGTAACTAAAAAGAATATAAATAATTGTACTGCCCTTACCCATTTTTGTAAATGGATTATTCTGGTCCGATCAGCTGGACGGCTTTATTAAATGCATGCATACACATGCGCATGACCCGATGTCGTGATGTCAGATCTGTAGTCCTGTATATTATTTTCAGTCGAATGAAAACAAACTGCAGTCATTCGCGGACTTTGGAATGTGAATTTACCGCGATATTGCTTTTATTCCAAAAAAGCTTTTGTCATTGAAGTTTGAGCTGAAATTCAAACGACGATTAACCAGAACAGGATGCTGTACGTTACATTTCTTCAGCGGGAGTATTGACTGAGTGTGGTGGGAAAAAAGATGATGTAATTTTCCAAAACGTCAAGGGCTCAAACTGCACAAAGTGTGTGCTTTGTCTATGGCGGGTTTTTGTGTTCGCCGGCTGCTTTGTTCGCGTTGTTATGATCGGTTCTTTTAGTCGATTTTACCGCCCAGTTTTCCACTTCGGGAAGACAGGATGGAGAGTGTTGGAGATTTTGAGTACAGCAAGAAAGATCTGATCGGCCACGGGGCTTTTGCAGTTGTTTTTAGAGGGAGGAGAAAACAGGTAGGCCTATTTTATAAAACCAAAATAGTTTATTTACTTTTGCCTGATCAAGTTGTGATGTAAATGTAAACAAAAACAATTGTTTGTTTGTACATTTTAATTTTGCTGCCAGATATTGCTGGAGAGATCATTGCTGAATGAACTTACAAAGAGTAATTCCTTAATTTTACTTAATTGCAAGATATGTCATCATGTACGTGAAATTATGAAAACTAACGTAAATGATTTCAGTGAAATATTTTGAAAGATCGCCAGACCATGTCCAAATGTTAAAAAAGGCGATAAGTTGGGTCCAAGTTACTCGGACTAGTTCAGTTGTACTTGTAAAAAGTTGTATTTGTAATATTTCTACTACTCACCCAAACTTAAGCGCCATGTTAAAAACTTGATTGTGTTTGTGAAATTTGATGTTAGCTTTTATAGACGACTAGTAAATTTTTATAAATTGTTTGAACTGTAAACAAAGATACACACGTATGATATTGGGCTTTATTTACATTATTTAATGTGATAACATATTTTGTGGTAAATTTTTGTTTCAAAGATATCCCTATTTTGTTTTGCCTCTAAGGTTGAGAGGACTTACGTCAAATGGTTCAGCAGATGCACATTTTTCACAATTGTTTCCTTTATACAATAAAAAGAATCCAAACATTTTATGCATATAAATTATACAATAACGATTCTCAGTCCCGAATTCATGGGGTGTTTTTCATGTAAATTTAACAATTAATGACCATCACTGACTCTCAGATTTGCATTCATCTATGTGTGTGATGAAGAAATGGAGCAGCAAGTGCAAATTACCACATTTTCCAGCATTCCACTCAAATTATTCCCAATGTAAATAATTGGATGTTAAAACTTTGAACTTGCAGAGATCAGAGGAGACTGTGGCAATCAAGTGCATCAATAAGAAGAATCTGTCCAAGTCTCAGACCCTGCCAGAAAAAGAGATTGAAATCTTGAAGGTGAGATAAAAAAAAGTTAATCCAGAATGTGACACAATGTAAATATAATGAATAGTCATTAAACTAGTTGTTTCTGTTGGTGGTTTTCTGACAAAGCATAGACAGATATGAATAGGCTGGTATTTTGTCCTGGATTTGTTTGCTCATATTCATATTCAGGGAAAGTTGAGTTAACTTCCAGTAGCCTTCCGAAAATTGAAGTCAAAACAAAAGTGTGATCCCCAATTAGTCCCCATTATGAAAGTCATTTCCTTTCTGAGGCTAGGTTTTCCCCAGGTCAGTCATAGATACAGGTGGTTACATAAGTACATGATTGTGTTTGTGACTGGCTTAATAAGGGTCAGGGACAGAGTCAGAACCTTCATTGAAAGTAAAATGTGTATTGCAGCTATGAAACATGTACCTGGGAAGTTGTCAAAGTTGAGAAAAGTCTTGTTTTCATTTTCCGTTTTATGCTTGTTTCATTGTTATTGAGTTGCTCCTTACAGGTAGCGTAGATCATATGAGTTTTGACGCTTGTGCATTTTTTTCATTTGAAGCAACACAAGTTCTTAAAATCTGAAGACGGGTGCTTAACAACTAGTAGCCTGATGAAGTCTTAGCTCTGTGAATGCTGTATTCCGGGAAAACAATATTCTAGGAATAACTAGGATCTTGGTTTCTGTTAGAAAGTTGCTGAGTCATGTTTTGAATTGTGCGTGAAATCAGCGTCCGGGACACGTTGTCATTCAGCCGATTGTAGCTACGCGATGTCATGCGCTGAACTTACAAATAATACGCACACCATTTTCAACAGTAATTTTGTCAGTTAGTTTTTGGATAGCTGCAAATGTTATATCTACGGTACCTTGAACTTGGCCTTAATTTGGCCTATCAGTGTTAGTTTGCAAAACATACCTGAAAAGATGGTCAAAGTACATGTAGACTTTATGTACATGTACACGTATGCCTTACTTACTGTGTACTGGTGGATTTTCTAAGGGGTCAAGTTTGTTTACTTGTGAACTTTGTTGAGACATCGTTTAGAGCTGCAATCAGCTCAATGAGAACTTGTCCCGGATGCCGATTTCGGGCACAATTCAACACATGACTCGGCAACTTTTGAATTGAAATTGAGATGTAATACAGTTTTCTAAGAATATACAGCATTCATTGAGCTAAAACATCTTCAGGTTAGTTGTTAAGCACTCGTCTTTAGATTTTGAGCACTTTTGTTGCTTCAAATTAAAAAAATGCACAAATGATCTACCCTTCCTTTTAAGTCCTTGTTCAAGTATTATTGTAAACTTATATTTTTTATTTCCCCCCCCCCCTCACACTTCAGGATCTTCATCATGAAAATGTTGTGTCACTTCTTCATTTCAAGGTAAGACACTTTTGGATCCTGTAAAAACCTTGGCAATTAACTCAAGCAATCTGTCTAAGATGTGACCCTGGTTCTCCTGATAGTTGCCATGGTTACTCCTTGTAAGTCTGACTGTCTCCATGGTTTGCAAGGCCAAAAAACATGAGGCGACTCAGCTGCTAAATTGTTGCCTGAAGATTTTGTTAAATGTCACCCTGGCATAACCCCAGACTGTTTGGACATTATGAACATTTGCTGTGGAAGTTTATGGAAATTTTCTTCGAAATGAAAATTGTGTACTATTAACCTTTGCTGTTTATACTGATCCATTTTATATTTGGGAACGTTTAAAATCAAGGTGTTATTTTCCTTCTCGGATTACCTATATTCTTTGGCTTTTTTGTGCCAGTCGTACAGTGCCAATCATACAGTGGCCACTGAACCACATATATATGCAGACATTTTTCAAAAACCATTTTTATGTAATTTCAGCAATTTGAGATTTCAAGGTTGAGTTAAATAGACATTCACTTGTCTGGATTGGCTAAAGTTTGACACAGCATTGTTTGCTTTGCAGAAACTTTTTATTATTATTATTATTATTTATTTGGCATTAAAAACACAAACAACAAACATTCACAAAATAAGAGAAAACCAAAAACCAAGAAAACAAAAACGAACATGACGAAAGCCAGGGGCATATGCCCGGAATTAAACAAGTTTACCTAAAAACTGTGGCCCGAAGGCCTTCAATTCCAATACCTCTGGCTACACAAAGAATATATAAATCTATAAAAATGTGTTAACAATAAAAACATAGATGTGCATGCAAAGAACTAGAACATGTTATCATCAAAATCAGCCAAAAGTAGACTTTGGACAAATGTTGGCATTTTTTTAAGACCTGGTTTGGTCAGACAAGTCAGACGTGCACATTTGTTTTACGATCTCTTTCCACATAATGTATGTACCAATTTCTAATGCAATTTAGTGATTTTTTGTCCTTGAAAAAGTAGAGGTACCCGCATATAACCAACCTTGAAAGAGTACATTTATGCAAATTAGCATGTAGTCTACAAGTGCATACGGTCTTACAATTGTGGTAGATGTCAACAAAAAGTGGTTTGAAAACATATCCCCCAAAATTGTGTCAGGAAATGTTTGGGTTGACTGGGCTCTAATTTAGGAAAGCTTCAATGTACGGGATGTGAATTGGTAAAATAACCGTAATTACATCTACAATTGCATGAGTACACAGTGTACAATTTTGTGTTAACCATTGAGCTACAATGTATTAAAAGTACATGCGCTTAATATACTGTGTACATTTTGTGACAAAACCAATACAGGTGTGCAGGCCCAAACTTACTCCCATTCATTCGCAGTACATACATGATGTAAGCTAAGAAACCTTGCATTGTTATTTAAATTCTGGCATCATAAAGGTTTCTAATTGGTCAGTGAGCAAAGTTCAGCTACTGGTCATGCGCTGCAAACATGATGGGGGGGGGGGTCAGTGTTTGGAACTGTTTTGGCTTATCCCTTTCGGTGAGAGGCCTAGGTCAGTTTAAAAGGCAAACAAGTTGAGTTTGCTTTCATCCAAGTTGAACTGGGCTCAGGTCGACCTGCAATTTGCTTGCGCTGTGCAAAACTATAGGCTTGGTCAGGTGTTCATCAATAATGTCCATGATGGTAACTGACTGCTAACAAATTTATAAACGCTAGCCACGTGCTGTAATGTACGAAGCACGGACAGTGACCTCACAGGGCTACAATATGCAAATCAGTTGATGAAGAATGAACCGTTAATGCCAGCTAGTGTTTTTGTTTTTATCAACCAGATACCATTAACGGATACTGTTGACCAGCGCCTTGACCAAAGCTATAGTTCCGTCGTGGTGCAAGCAAATTAATCGCAGGTCAGCCTGAGGCCGGTTTTAGAGCACTCTCATATTGTTATTACATTGGAGCATCTCGACCATTTTGTTATGCGAAAGCAAAAATATTGTATTCAATTTGAAACTTTGCTGTTAAAATAATTGCATCTCCCACAATAATTCATTCATAACTCTCCAAAATTTGCTGTACATTTAGAAGTGTTGGAAGGATGTTTTGGCATAAATTTTCATGGGCACATACTGGTATTTCAGCTTCTTGTGCAATGACTCAGGCATGCAACATATCCTTGGATCAGGTGATTTTCTCGTTTTTCACGTCAAACTCGTTTTTCCACATCAAACTCGTTTTTCACATCATGCCATTAGAAAGTAAAAAAAAAAAACACTGTAGAAAGTCTTGTAGAGGTTATTCTTTCTTCCCAGTTGCATGCCTGAATGACCAGCTGTATGAAAGAGAGTTTCAGTTGTTGTACAACTTCCTCTTCAGTCACAAAAGAACATTTCTACCCAAATCCTTACATTCACAAGCTAATGTTGATTCAGTACGTACTAAATGTTGCAAAGCCAGCTGTTTAAATTCAGTGTATGCACATGATGCATACAATGGTACAATCATGTACAACAAGGTTGCATTTAATGTCATTGTTCTTGAGGTTATATCGGGCACTCAATATCTACGCGATCACATTATGCCTATCTAATATCACAGATATGGGTCAGGTACGGTACATACATGTATATGTTTCCGTGCTCTATGGGCCGTATATATACATGTACGTCATCCCATTATAGAGGTGTCATGTAAAACATATTTTTATAAAGTAGTGGTTATATTGAGTGTTTTACACTGATGTTCCTAGATGCCTATCAGCATTTACAATAAAAACAGCTAGTTGATGTTACATTAATTGCTCATACTGTGAAAGTCTTACAAGTTACAAACAGTATGTACATGTACATGACATGTACATGTTTGCACATTCTGTGCATTCCGTACAGCGTGATCAATAATATATCAACAGCTAGTTCTTCAAAGATTGTTTTCAATGCAAATTCAGTTTAAGAATCTCTGTGTGTTGTGTCACCAACAAAGGCTGAACCACACGTATACATTTGTGAATAGAATCAACTTATGATGTCAGTCCCCCAAAATAGCCATTGCATCACACTGCACCCTGGGCTGCATGGTTCCGAGTCTGTTTACCTCCCATCTGTGTAGGAGTGGTGTGATATTTTAGGCCAGATTTTAAAAGTGTCTGATTCAAACAGCGCTATTATATTATGAAGAAAAAAAGTGTGAAAAGAGTCCAGGCTTTGCAACACTGAAATCATATGTAGCCAGTTTGCAACTAGTCATGCCAGTAGGCCTACAATAGCGAAACGATCTAACTGCCCATGAGGATAAAAAAAAAACGAAGAAAAGAAAGAGGTTTTGTACGTAAAAAAAAAATGCATAACTGTGCCAGTAATTGTTCCGAATAAGTGTATTTTTCAGCATCCTCAGGTTGAAATACAATTCTGCTTAAATTTTGCATATTATACTAAAAATGTACTGTAGATCGACTGTCAAGATACATCAGTACAAACTACAGCATGCATGCATGTGACAATGAATGGACAACCGAGATGTGTACATCATGTATGTTAAAACCCAGAACATATATTTCCTTAATTTCCCTGGACATTTACCGGGGGGGGGGGGGGCAAATGCAGTTAAATAACGTTGCAATAAATTTTACTCACATATGTTCTGCATACACACGTATACATTGTAAATGTGATTAAATACATAATTTGAGGTCTATCATAGATTTTTATGCATAAACTGTTTCCTTTTGAATGGGTATGTGTGGTCATATCATGTACATCATGTACATTTTGTACATTGTACAGGTACATATAAACATACTTTTCTTCAGTACTGAATCCAGGTTCCTTGAAAGTCTTTCAATTTGCACAATCTGTTGGCTTTTTGTAAAATACCGGTACACGAAAGTTAATTTTGTATTAAATTGTAAATTGTGTTTACAACAAAACAATATATCAGACCCAAACATTACATGTGCAAACATTACAATAATCATGCACACCTTTACCAAAACAACACTTTGACCTTTCAATGTTGGCCTCCATTCGCTGAAGGTCACAATAATTGTTTTGATCACATGACTCATAGTATCAGGTGATACGCAAAAACAAGGTCACACACTGAACTGAAGGGCAGGCAGTGGCACTAGGTGTTTGACACACAGCTGGTTTGATACACGTACACACTGATGATCCATCTGTGTTGCACAACAGAGTTTCATACATCACAATAATTGGCACGCTTCCAAGATCCGATGATTTTCTGATATCTATTGTACACGTAAACATTGCCGGGTTGTACACATAAGCATCAATACTGGATTGTTCTGTGTACATATTGTAAATCATGCTGTAGGCATATAGGCCTACTGGTTTTACAGAGAACGTGATGATGTGAAGGCCAAAATCGACAATAATTGGTTTTGACAAGTGCTTATGAAATTATATTGTGCACTGTCTGTATTTCAGCCATATGGTGTTGTCAAAAGACGTCCTCTGAACGAAAGAGCACACAATAGAAGCAGACAGATATTGGGTGTATTGAAGGATAAATGTTGTTCAAAGTAAGGCAAAAACAATAATACTTCTGCCCTATCCTATTTTTTTAGGGGGGGGGGGAGAAATGAGGAAAAAAACGTGAAAACCATCAATTACTACCTTTTACCCTTTACTACTTGCAGACACCTCCATATGATCGTACACACACAAAATTGCCAAAAACAAAACATAAATTCCCTATACAGTGGCGTCTCGTTAATACAAACTCGTTCGGACCTAGCCAAATTGTTTGTTATATCAGAATTTTGTATTAAGAGGAACATCAGTCCCATTCCTTGTGCACATAAATGCACAGTCAGGACCAAGGCTTTTTGTTTGTTATAACCAGATTTTGTATTAACAGAGTTTGTACTAACGAGAGTCGACTGTATACCTACCCGGTACCTACCCTATTTTCAAATACCATGTAATCGGAAGCAGATTTCTTTTTTTGGCCTTATTTGCTGTTCTCCAGCAAATTGGAACAGTTGTACGTAAAACAAGCCATTGAGATCTATTAATTTATGATCAGCCGTGCCTTTGTATGATTACAAAAAAACCTCTTTCTGGCAAAACTACATGTAGGGACAGTTAAAATTGGTTAAAATCATTTAGAAAATACATTCGTTACCGGTATGTCTATAATGCACACATATAGGCCTATATTTATAAAGTTTTAGTTTATATATTTTATTTACCATATCATAGTGCACTTTTGCCATGTATAGCTCAGAGAATAATAAAACATGTAGGGCCCTATACACTATTATCAGGTTCAAAATATTCTCAGAAGCTTTTTTAAGCTATTGTGCTATATGTGTACACTGCCATTTTTGTGCATACACGCTGATCTTGGCATTGTTACAACTTCACTCCGCACTACAGAGTGTCATGTAAGGAATTTTGGCAAGATTCCCATTTTGTACACGTAGCGCCTAGAGGCATGTACATGTATCATTCAGAATCAAGTTTTAAAGTAGAGTCCATCATGTAATTTGGGAAATCAAAAGTTGCTGAGTCGTGTTTTGAATTGCGCCCAAATTCAGCATCCGGGACACTTTCCGATCACAGCTACGCACTGAACCAATGAATTATAGCAACTGCGTGCAGGTGTGCGTCGTGTCAACGCTTGCGCGCTTCGCGGAATTAAAAAATACAAACTTCTAACGGAAATTTCCAACAGTGCGTCTTTTGCTAAAAATAAAAACAAAAGCTGTTTCTAACTTTCTTTTGTTGTTGTTGCTTTACTGTCTTCTTAAATTATGTTATTATCAAACCCGTCAAAACTGACCAACCGGTAGTGCAGCCGGGAAATAGCCAGATTCCAAAAGTTGCAAACTAAAGTTTTAGTTTAATTAAAATAATTGTTTAAGTTCCCCTGTCTATATCTATCTCTATATTGTTTGTGTTGTTTATGATCTCTTATGATATTTCTATGATGGTATAATCTGTTGGTTGTTTTTCTAGATTTTTATTTTATTTTTTTTAATTTTAAAACTGTAAGATGATTGTCAGTCACCATTTTTTTCCTTATATGTACATAATTTTTGTATGGCCCTTCCTTTGTTTGTTTGAATTTGTCATATTTTCCTATGGAATTTTTGTTTTCTCTCTGAATAGTAAACAATAACAGTTTTGTATCCTCCAGTTAATTGTGACTAACTCTATCAACATACGTGTACATGAATCTATCCACAAGTCTCATATATATTGTTTTGTATGTGACCGATATAAATGTCATGAGATGGAAGAGCATTGTTGACATTGCAATTCATATCCGTGCAAGACAAGTGATTATGGGCTAGTTAAAATGTAATCTCAAGGAGTGTCCTTGTTATGTTACTTGTTTGCACAGGAAACGTCCACATCAATGTTCCTGGTCATGGAGTATTGCAACGGCGGTGACTTGGCAGACTACCTCCATGGTGAGAATGCACTATTCAATGTTGAGACAATAATATGAATCATCACTGATGTTATATCTGTCATAGTTCACATGTGGCTAGCAACTCTGGCATATGCCTTATTTAGAAGAGTCCATCAAATTGCATTTATACAATTGACCCTCGAGTGCACAATAAGCTCTGGCCGTGTTGCAAGAAGTCTTGCATGAAAGCTCTTACGTGAAATCAATCAGAATGATCTCTGCCAGAGCTTAAAAATGTGCAGCCGAAAAAGGTTATGTCGATGGCACATATGGAACACCATACATTTCGTCAAATTTCAGGGACAGACAGACAGACAGACAGACCACCAAGTGACATGTAGTTAGCTCCTGCCAGAACTTGAAATATGCAGATGAAATAATGGCACACTATTCAATCAATTCAATTCAAGAAGACTTTTATTCCATACTCCTTTGGGAAAATACGTCGATAATTAAAGAAAAGAAATCAGTTCATAGGAAAATCACAAAATCAAATAATCGACTATAGATACAATATTATATACACTTGGAACTAACAATAAAGTCAATAAGTATGGTCTATACTAAAAGAGAAAAGAGAGAGCCGAGGCTTGTAGAAAACAGCCCGTACAGACCCCCTTCTCTCCCCCCCCCCCCCCCCCCTCTCCCCCGAAGAAAAAAAAATTACAAACAAAACGAGGACGGAACAGACAAGACAGAACAGACATGACAAAAGCTGATTGCAAAATAATACAAAGAAGGAATGTAATATCTGAGGACGACTAAAAGCACTACATCCAGTGCCGGCTGGAAATGTTTCCGCAGAATCTGCACGGTGAATCAATTCATACAGATGCAGTTTCCTCTGGTGGAGAGTCATTGCAGCCCGGTAGTGTGTGAAAAACTCATTGCCCCTCCACTCCTAAGCAGTGTAATAATAACGCTGTCTTACGGGTAAGGCTGAATTCATCGTCGCCTCCAATTGCCATCAAGTAGGTTTTACAGAGAGCAAAATCTATTACTTCCACGGCACAGGGGGTACACTAGGTTCTTCAAGTATGCTAGAATACCCTCTTGTGGCCATTTTATATTGCAAGTTTGTGAATCCTCGTCACCAAATGTTGCAATATAGTAAGGAACGCAGACAGAAATGATGTCACATGAACCTCAAATTGACTTCAACATATTTGCAATGTTATTCATGCTTTCATGCCTTCAACTGTGAAAGTATTTTTCCAAGTAGCCAATGAGAAAACAGGAGTAAGGCCATACATACGGTATTTTGTGTTTCGTTTACTGAATACAACACCTTGTTATCTCTGTAATGAACATAAAAGTGAAATCAATATCACATGAAAAAAAAGCCCGGATTTTACAAGATAATTTTGAAGAACAAATGCAGCTTGGATTGACTTAAATTGATTTTTGTTACAAGGCATTTGATATTAATAAATGAGGTACATGTATTAATTCCTGTTATGCATTCCTCAGTACATCAACAAATTTGAATATCTTACAAAGCTTATTGTTTTATATTTGTCAATTCAGTGAAAGGGACCCTGAGTGAAGATACAATACGATTCTTCCTGAGGCAAATAGGTATGTGAATTAATTCAGTAGTTCCAAATAAATTTGATATTTCATTTCTTATGTTCAGAGACTGTCAGGAAGGGCTTAACATGAAAATCACTTCTTCTTCTTTTAAAAGGAGCACTTTTGAAAAAAATTCACCCCAATTGAAAATGTTTTTTTACCACAAAACGACGCAATGGTTTCACAATATTTGTGCTCAAATTACGCTGGCTTTATCCACTGCTGGAAACATAAGTAAGGCAAAAAATCGCTGCATGTAAACAAACTGGGTTTTTTTTTCAGCAAACACTAATATTTTGCGATCTTCGGACAAAAGTGTACCTATAATGCTTTGCGTTTGAAGTGAGCCAAAAAAATAAGTTATAAATGGTTCCTGCTACAGATATATGTGGTTGAGCTAACAGTGGAAGTTAATTTCAGTTCGTATACATTTTTTCAATACATGTCTATAAAAATGCATGAAATATTCAGTAATTGTAAAAATTGTAAAAAAAAAAAAATGGTTTAGTACATGTGCATGTTAACTGTTGAGGGTATCTGTGATAACATCAGATCACTCAGTGAATTGTGTCTCTGCTTGCAGCTGCAGCAATGATGGTTCTACATAGCAAAGGCATTATCCACAGAGACCTGAAACCACAGAACCTGCTGCTCAGTCACCAGTCCAAGAAGACCCCGCCTCCATCAGACATCAGAATCAAGATCGGTGAGTGTTATAGATGGTTGCGTGAACTACTCATAAGGGCTCCCGTCCATGAGATATACCCAAACGCACTGGTTTATACACTCAATTGCCGAGATTATATGCATGTTCAATTGTCATCTGAGTCTACATGAGGCTATAGATATAATAATAATAATAATAAAAAAATAGCAGGCATTTATATAGCGCTTTTACGCTGCAACGGGGTATCAAAGCGCTTTACAATTACTTTCCTTGTTTCAACGGGCAAACACTCCTGAAACCTTCTCAGCTCCCTTGGGGAGTATACAGCTCAATGCTGCCTGTTAGGTGCAAGCAAGCTAAATCAACCACAACAACCATCTGTGCCCTCACAGGTACCCATTTACTCCTGGGTGGGGGGGAAGCAATGAGTGACAAAGTACACGCACTATGACCCCAGGCAGGACTCGAACCCTGCACAACGTGCAGAATTGCCACAAATCTGATGCCCTTAACCACGAGGCCACAGCACTCCACATATAGATATAGCATTTTTGCAGTGGCCACTGGCATCCCAAAATGGCGCTGGACTGTGGCTTTCAAGTGTTTGTCATATTCACTCTTTCTTTGTCGGTGATGAAGGGATACGTATGCACAGAGACAATAAAAGAGCATTACCAATAGGCAAAGTTCCAAACATTTGGATCTTGTGGTCAAGTTCTGAAGGGTCCATTCTTTGGGAATCCCATTCTAATTCACGTCACCAATTTAGACTTTTTGTTTCCTTTGGTTTCAAGCTCACATTAGTGTAGGATTTCAGTTGGAAAACCTCCTAATGGTTTTCCTTTGCATTTTTTTTCCCCCAGCTGATTTTGGGTTTGCCCGGATTCTGGAGGAGGATATGATGGCAGCAACGCTGTGTGGATCTCCTCTATACATGGTAACAGAGTCAGTTTCCTGAAGTTGTGGTTTTTATTGTTTTATAAAGGGGGAAACCCCTGTACCGCCTGCCTGCATTATTCATGACTCTTGCAATTGTTTAGGAATCGGACGTCATGCAGTGTTATTCTTGGAAAATACATTTTGTTTTTCATTTTCATGGAAAATGGATAATAATAGTAATAGTTTATTCATTTAAATTATGCAAATTCCATGTGAAAATTGTCAAATTCGCAATGCATAAAATATACTCCAAACATGCCTAGAGATGGTGCATTATGCAGCCGATCCACAAACACCAAGGCAAGCTCCCCATGTATAGGAAAGCGCCAGTCTATAAGTCAAAGAGGCCTGAAGCAAGGATATGATCCTGTATAATTACAGAAATCCAAGTGTTTCTTTCAAATTGCATATAATGACCATTCTTGTAATACCTCAAATTCTCAATTTAAATGTCAGAATCCACTTACATCCCTGATGACTAGCTTAGGTTGAAAGTCTTTTTGGCTTTTCTGTTGTTTTAGGCACCAGAAGTCATCATGTCCCTGCAGTATGATGGCAAGGCTGACTTGTGGAGTCTGGGTACCATCATCTTCCAGTGTCTGACAGGGTCTGCGCCGTTCAAGGCCTCCAACCCTCAGGAGCTTAAGAAATACTACCAGCGAGCCAAGCATGTACTGCCTGAGTACGTCAAGTCTCAATGTTGTCAGAAAAACATTCGTAATCAAGTGTTTGCCATAGAGAGGCTACTTTTTTACATAGAGTGGCCACTTTTTGCTAAAGAGAGGCTACTTTTTGCCATAAAGACGCTACGTTTTCACAGAGTGGCTACTTTTTTACCATAGAGAAGCTACTTTTTGCCATAGAGAGGATACGTTTTCACAGAGAGGCTACTTTTTTGCCATAGAGGCTACTTTTTGCCATAGAGAGGCTACTTTTTGCCATAGAGAGGATACGTTTTCACAGAAAGGCTACTTTTTTGCCATAGAGGCTACTTTTTGCCATAGAGAGGCTACTTTTTGCCATAGAGAGGCTACTTTCTGCCATAGAGTGGCTACTTTTTGCCGTAAATAGGCTACTTTTTGCCCCAGAGTGGCTACTTTTGCCATAGAGAGACTACTTTTTTGCCATAGGCTACTTTTTGCCCTAGAATGGCCACTTTTTGCCATAGAGAGGCTACTTTTTGCCATAGAGAGGCAACGTTTTCAAAGAGTGGCTACTTTTTGCCATAGAGAGGTTACTTCTTGCCATAGAGAGGATATTTTCAACTAATAACAGTCAGCTTCTTACATTGTTTATCCTGCAGTGAATCACAGAGTTGTAGTCAATAAAACCCATAAGAAGTCTTGGGCCTAGCTGCATGTAGATTATGCTAACCACTGTTCTGTGAAATTATTGAGAAGAACATATGGCAGTAAAGTTTTGGTACGAAACAACCCGTGCGTTTTTGATCTTGGATTCAAGGTTTGTTTTGTTGCCTTTCAGTATTCCTCAGGGAACCTCAAAAGAATTGAAAGATCTTCTCATCCGGCTTCTGAAACGAAACCAGAAAGACAGGATAGAATTTGGTGAGTTGTGAACCTTCATATTTTCAAGCCAAACCATACAATAGTCTGCTAACAGAAACATTATAATGAACAATTTTATGTAACATTCATAGAAATACATGCGTTTTTTCTTAACACTAAAAGATTCTTGTTTATTTGTTCCTCATTTTATTTTATTTGTTCTTGATTGCCACAGATGCATTCTTCAGTCATCCATTTCTTGGAAAGAAATCACAACCTACCTCATGTGAGTACACACACATACTTGTTCCATAGTTGTGGGGACCACACGCCTGATGAGCGATAGTTATTGTGGGGACCCAAAACACTGTTGGGGCAGTAAAAAGTTCCCACAACTCTGTCCTATAATATCCCTGCCAACAAAAACTTCTCTACAACGTAGTCGGAGCTAACGTACCTTAACCTTGTAGCTCTTTGGAGCCATAAGCATGGGTGGATGTAACCGTACACTTTGCGGGTTTGTGACGTCTACACTCAAAAACATTCCAGGCCCGTAGCCAGCCTGGTGGCAAGGGGGGGGGGGAGCGTTTTTACCGTAAAGTAGACCTTTACTGTACTATCACTGCATCGCCTTCCTGATCTTTGGGACAGATCTTGTGGACACTAGACTAGGCCGCTAGCCACGCGCCTCGCGCTGCTACAACTACTGCAGACCAGAATAACGATACGGCAACGTGCAATGTGACGACTTATACATAGGCTATATAGTAGTGCGTGATGGAATATTTCCTGTTGAGCTATCCCCGCTTGTCAAAGAAGACTTTTTCCAAAGACACATTTTGAGTGAAACTAAAATGTGAATTGCAAGGAAAAAGTAGACCTGCGGCAGAAGGGGGGGGGGGTGTTTCGTTCAACCCCCCGACCAAAAAATAGATTCCTTTTTAAATTGCTATTTTTTATAGCAATACAAAAGTTATACACTTTTGAATGACACATCGACCAAAAAAAAACCGGCCCATGTTTTGAAATATAACTATACAATTCCAAATTATGAGCTGCCGGCAATATTTCCATTCTTGTGAGGTAGGCTGGTTCCTGCCCCACAACCAGTATTGATAATGTACGTATTCGGAAGCCAGTCTATTCGCAAGTTAGAGGATTGTAGAAGTCCAAAAAAAAAGAGGTTAACTGGTTGAAATGAAGCTTACAAGTTGAAAGCGTATAAATAGAAAAACATGTTAGCAGCACTAACATGATTTCCTTTGGTTTTATGACCCCAGCTGCCCCTATGCCAGTACCCAGTCGGACCCGCAGCTTCTTAGCCGATTCCCCCGAGCAACGCACCCTGTCGGTCTCCCCGCTGTCCGGCAACATGCCCATATCCTCCCCCGAGGACCAGCCCCCAAGAAAGCATCGGTCATCGTCTTCCCAGAGCGACAACAGCCGTGGTGGCGCCGTTTCCAGCTCGCCGGACAAGTATGGGACGGGGACGCCACAGAGTATCAACTCCCTGGATAACGAGATCGTAGAAGGGGTAAGGGATGATTTACATGCAACACAGGTCAAGGGAAGCCTCTCTTCATCTATGAGTGATCAAAATGTCAATTTTTTTTCATTTTCTGACCAAAACTATGTTTTCAGGAAAGTCATTTCTTTTTAGCTTAGAGTGGTTTAAAATGGTAACGTTTTAATCGTTTAAACATTTTCAACAAAGCGTAGGAAAATGCTCATTCATGAGACATTGTGTTGAAATAAAAATGACCATAATAATAAAATGTTTAACTTAGCAGTTTTCACAGGTTAACAAACATATCAAGTTTCACTTTGATGTTGCATATTTGTGGAATGGAAGGGGAATGGAATAAAAGAGAGAATTTGGCAACCCTCCCAGCAGCTTTCCAAAAAGGCACAAAAAGTGGCTTATAGGCCTATATTGGCCAAGAGTCATTGTCGTTTTCCAGGACATGAAAACTGGCAGCACTGTCTGTTCTATAAATAAATGTGCTCTGTGTACATATTTCCAAAATCAGAGTTCTGAATGATTTAATATTGTATCTTTGTTTCTGCAGGATTTTGTGCTAGTTTCTCCACACTTTCAATGTGAGTGCTTATTTTGTTTATTACCTTTTAACATCTTCATTATAATTAGTAAGTGCAGCAACATAGCAGACTCAAAGGTAGGGTACCTGTGCTTAATTTGGGGTGCGGCACCCTACTAATTTGTGGGGAGTGTGGCTAGTGGTTAGGATTCATGACTCATGATCAGAGGAGCAGGGGTTCAAATCCAGCTGCTGGTCATATGTTTAGTTCTAATAGGCAAGCCACTTCACCCCCACTTGCCTCTCTCCACCCAGGAGTAAATAGGTACTGGCATTAGCTGGGGAGTAACCTGCAATGGACTGGCATCCCATCCAGGGGGAGGAGAAATATTCTCAGTCGTTTCATGCCAAGTAAACCGGAGATAAATGCCGGCCTGATGGGCCACATTGGCTCATGACAGACTCTGCTTACTTTTTACCCTAAAACCTCAAAGCTGCCTATTTTTCACCTTTTGAAAAATTATATTCTGTCTTTTCAGGTACAGGGTTTGAGCAGTCACCAAAAAGCAGGCGGCTGGATCGCCAGAGATCAGTCAGGTGAGATAGAACGAGTAATCTACACCTACTGCACGATGAAAGTCTCTCACACAAAACTCCTGCATGCCAAGTAGCTTGTTACGTCTCTCGTCAAATCTGTCTCCATCTTGGCAAATGACTCGACACTCGTGCTAAAATGGACAGTAACAATGCTCTGAACTGGAACAAATAATACCGTTGATATTACTGAAGGACATGTATGCCTTTTCTGCTGTATGCGTTTCCACACTTGGGGCTATTTTTTTTCACGATGTACAGTTTGCTACAAATTGTAATGTAAAGTTGAACAAAGACATTGACTGGAGCAGGGTTTGGACGTGTCGGTGTGCACAGAGCCATTGCAGCCATGACAAAAGTTGGATCGAGGATCATCGGTCCACTAGTGGTTGATAGTTTCACGCAAACGCCCCTGGTTAAACAATTATTCATAAATACCTGAGACAGTTTACCCATTCCTGTTGGTCAAGAGCCCGTCACGTGGGTGGTTTTAAATGGTCGATAAAACACCGGCTGGCTGGTTTTAAATACTTCCCTGTGTCACATGAAATTTGGACTCCTATGAAATTTGATCCCTTTTACCCATGTATTGGTTGAATGTTTCATAGAGTCCCAAATTCACACTGCACTGGCACTGCTGCATTCTGCGCCACATTGTGCAGTACACTCCACGCGCACGTCAATCTCCATATAAGGAGATATTTTAGGACTATTGGCGAGAAGCGCATGCCATAAACATAGCAAGAGGGATGTCTAAAAAAGCAGGAAGTAAAATTGTTGAACAAAATCGTTTGAAAATTTATCATTTTCGACTTGTTTTGACTGTCTGACTGAAAGGTATTTATGAATGGAAATACATATGTGCTTGGCTGGTATTAAACAAGTACATTTAAAGCTGGCTTGGGGCCTGGTCGCTAATAATGGTCCAAGCCGAAGGTGCAACCATAGAGGGAACAACATTAATAGGATCAACCTGGCTGGGACCCAACAATTAACGGGCACAATCTCGAATAAACCACCAATTAAAGTTAAAAGTTAAAGGTTGGTGGGTCCAGAATTAACGCTCACACAAACTGAGCAAGGGACATTTGGCTCGGGCCATTATCAGCGTCCAGGCCCCAAGCCGGTTTTAAAAGTACTTCTTTAAAATCGGCCACGCACATATTTATTCCCCTATTAAAATGTCATCACGAAACTCCTTGGTACTGGCTCTCTGCTGTGGACTATAATGTGCACGGCTTTTGTAACCAGCGATGTGACCAACTTCGGTATAGACTGGTGCCCAAACTAGGGCTAACTGTTGTCCACCAGGGTGGGTTAGAGCGAAGATAGTTGAAGTGTGATATAACCGTAGCTCTTTGCTCCATGCCTGTGCATCTTGACCTCATAGTAACCCCATATGTTCTTGCTTTGGTCTGCTTTGGTCTCCACAGTGACCCTCCCCAAGACCCCAGGCGTAGCTCCCTCCCCTCCCCTCCTACCCCCGTGGCCATGTTTACCACTCAAGCACCGGGGGCTTGCTCGCCGACAAACGGAAGCCAGTCTCCAAACGAGAGGTGGGTGTGATTGCCGGGAAAATGGCTTTTTACTTGGAACCTTTGTGAATCCGTTCAGTTCCTTAAAGCTACAGTCCATCATTTGTAATTTGTGCATTTTGTTCTTTTGAAGCAACAAAAGAGTTCAAAATCTAATGAAGGATACTGAGCAACTAACCTGATGAAGTTTCAGCTAAGCTTCAGCTGTACATTCCGAGAAAAGCAGCATTCTAAGATCTCAATTTCAAATCAAAAGTTACTGAATCATGTTTTGAATTGTTTTGAATTGCAGCTATACGCGGCGTCGCGCACTGATCCGACGAATTATAACAACCGCGCGCACGTGTGCGTCGTTCCAATACTTGTGCGCGCTGCGCTGAATAACAAAACGAACTACTAATTAAATTTTATGGTGCTTCTTAAGAATCACCGTTGGAAATACCTTCTTTCGTTGATTACTTCAAAATGACAGCTTCCCAGAAAGAATAATTTCACAGGGAGTTTAGTTCCCTTACTGTCTTTCAACCAAGTTTGTTTTTCAACAATAATTACGCCAGTTACATTTCGGATGGCTGCAAATGATGGACTATAGCTTTAACTTTGCAGGAAATGAATGGCACATCTTTTGCATTTGTAAGGGCATTGAGCCCTGTAACAAAGCATCGTTCTGGCAAAATAAGACAGAACTGGGCCGAGGTCGAAATGAGGGTTTGCGGGTATTAGAAAAGAGCATAAACTTCTCCTTACAGTATTGTTTGTTGCAATTCAATCGGACATTCCATTGACAAGTTACGGTTGTTTAAAGTTTGCTTTATTGACATGTCAAAAAAAGTAAAAGACAGAGAAAAAGGCCTTAAAAAGTTTTGAGTTTTGTGTTCGTGGAAATAAAAGATGCCAATTGTCTAGCCTTAAAAACATTTTTATTCCATGATTTTTATACTATTTATTGTAAAACAAGTGTAGTAGGCGTACTAAAGATTGCATATATCAATCAATCTGAAAATCAGGAAAAAAGACACCCCGTTTGCATTTTTCTCCACTACGGCCTGTGCCCAGTTTCGTTTCATTTTGCCAGAGCACCTCACATATTTTAATGGCAACAAGCGTTCACCATCTCATGCCAAAAAGATCACACACCGTCTGTATCAATAATTATACAGTACACTTTTTCTTTGGATGGACTTTCATGGCATGCAATATTATACAAATATTGAATGCTTCGAGTGGTGTAGTAAAACTAGCCGCCCGAGGTGATCCATGGACATTCTATTTTCCCGAGGCGAAGCCGAGTGAAAATAGAATGGTCCATGGATCACCGAGGGAGGCTAGCTTTACTTCACCACGAGATAAAGCATTCAATATTTGTTTTATAACACTTCACCCACAGACTCTGCTTGATTTTAATATTTTAAATTATCTAAATCTGAACACAGTTGAAATAAACTTCAATTTCAATACAAAATTGGTGGCAAATGTATTTCTCTCTTCCAAACTACCCCTTCACGAAATGTTTGAACCCAAGTCTGCGGCGCGCTCTCTTTGGAACAATACGCGCAACGTGCACACCAGCATCCATTTGCACACAAATACTGCGCCGTGGAAATAGTACTTTGGTTGCTAATGGTATAGTACTTTGGTTGCTACGGGTATAGTACTTTTGGCCGTGCACAGAAAGATAGCAAAATTAGAAAGTAACATGTGACTGGCTCTCGGCCAATCAAGACACAGAATCTGTGGGTGAGGTGTTATAATAAGTGACATTCAGCCCTTGCAAGTACACTTAAAAGTACATGTGCTTATGTTTATTTAACTTATCACTCACTGTGCTGCCACGAAATGACAAACAATTTAAGATGCAGTGATCATGAACATTTTCTTGAAAGTTTGAAAGTTGACACCATCTCGTACAAGTTGTTAATTAATGCTCTCCACCTACACCTGACAGGCCCACCAGTCTTCCCATAGCCACGGGATCCTCTGGCCGGTCCAGCTTGAGTCCCAGTCGCCATCATCCCCCGGGCATCAAGACCACACCCCCTGCCTCCACTCCCAGCCCTCACAGTGCAATAAGTCCATCCAGAACCTCCCCACAGGTGACTTTACACTTGACTACTGTTCCTTAGATAGCTGGCTGGCTGCCTCAATCTGACGATCAGGGTCCCTTGAGGGGAAAAGTGCTTAAAGGGACACTGCGTCCTGGAATACGCCCAATTAGGCTACAAAACGCATTTTGAACGAAATGATGCTATTCGGAAAGAACATTTAAAAATAGGATATAAACATCCACACAACTATAGTATTCTTGTAATATTTGTGCAAGAACGACTTTTGGGGTCCACTTTATATTAGCGACCCCAAAAAGTCGGGCTGTGATTCCGGTCGCAAGGGTTCGCCTTTTGCGGACGTGTACGAAATCGCATTTTGTTCATTGGTGATTGGTCACCACTGTTCGTGAGCACGGCAACTTGCTGTGCACGTGTGTAATACTAGAGACACACGATGTGTATCGTACATTGTATGAAAACGACAGGAAACACGTATCATACTCCGTCGTGTCTGATGTATCAATCAGGGGTTTTTTTTCTTCTTTTCTCAGGAACGGTAAGATATTAGGTTGGTTTCATTTCAACCAGATGTTTGAAATAGGATAAGTAAATATAATCCAAAACATGAAATTTTTGGGGATTTCAGGATGCATTGCCCCTTTTCATTTAGTTAGTAAGCAGACGTTAGCAGAGAACCAGTAACAGTATACAAAGAACGCATGATGTTTTCACTGGTAATCTGTGTTCTGTTAAGCAAATTATGTCTGCGCCTAGCACAGTTCTGTGTTTATCAACACCATGAAAATGACCTCTGATTCCAAGACTATCTGTGAGCAGTGCAAGTTTCTTATTCCTGAAAGAAGTTCATTCCAACTTTGGAATAATTTTGAACTTATGTCGTAAGATTTGAATGAACTTTTATAACATGAGATTTAAGTGACAGGTTTGTTTTGATGCTAGTCTTTGTCAATTTTTTGTTGACTTTGTTTCTTTTACGTTCGTTTTTTGTCAGGGTGTTCATCAACTCCAGTTTGGCAAGTTGCCAAGTCCGGTGGCAGCGGTGGGATTGACCTCACCAAGCAGTCTCCCCTCATCAGGATCACCAGGTTGGGATTTTTTTATTTCATCTTTGCTTCTGTTTCGTTGTGCTTTTCACACAAAAAACCTTTGATTGTTGTTAACATCAAATGGAAATACTCCAAACTTTTGACTTATACAGTGTGCCCCCCAAAAAAGTGTCCGTCTAAATATTTTTGAAATAACTACAAAACCACGAAGTAAAGTTTGAAAATTGTTAATTGTGTGGATACTCCATGGCCTAAACCCCCATGAGTTTCATGTAATTTCCATCACGCCTCACTGCACAATGATCAATTGATCACAACAAAATCCTTCATGTTGTAAAAAAGGGCTGATGTGGTTGGGAATTGGTGGTTGGGGAAACTAACTAGGTGCATTATAATACATTTTTCAGAGTTGAACAAAGAAATTGTATGGAGCAGGGCTTGAACCTGCGACCTCCGGATTGCCGTTCCGGTGCTCTACCAACTGAGCTATCCAGCCCAAAGTTGGCGGTGCCCCAATTTGTCAGTGCCTTTGTTCAAGCGACGCTTGATAGAAGTCAATAAACCTGTATCTGCCACGTGGCAAGAGATCACACCAAAAGTCACAATGCTAGAAACATAAGCAATGCTGCAAACCCGGATGTTGTACATCTGCATCAGTATAATTACAACACCATCAAAACTTGTTAAAGCTATAGTCCATCATTTGCAGCCATCCGAAAAGTAACTGGCGTAATTATTGTTGAAAAACTGGCGTAATTATTGTTGAAAAACATACTTAGCTGAAAGACAGTAAGGGGACTAAACTCCCTGTGAAATTATTCTTTCTGGCAAGCTGTCATTTTGAAGTAATCAACGAAAGAAGGCCTTTCCATTGGTGCGTCTTAAGACACACCATAGGAAAATTTAAATTAGTAGTTCTTTTTGTTATTCGGCGAAGCGCGCACAAGCATTGGCACGACGCACACGCGGTTGCTATAATTCGTCGGATCAGTGCGCGACATCGCGTATAGCTGCAATCGGCTCAGTGAGAACGCGTCTCGGACGCTGAATTCAGGCCCAGATCAAAACATGATTCAGCAACTTTTGATTTGAAATTGGGATCCTAAAATGCTGTTTTTCTCGGAATATACAGCTGAAGCTGAGTTGAAACTTCATCAGGTTAGTTGTTCAGTACCCTTCATTAGATTTTGAACACTTTTGTTGCTTCAAACGAACAAAATGCACAAATTACAAATGATGGACTATATCTTTAAGCTTTATAACAACTTTGCTGAACTTTCTTCATTCAGGTGGAGGTGTCATCCACAGAATCTCCAGTCGCCCCCAGGCCTCCCCGTCACCGCCCCTCTTCAGGTTCCCCACGGGGAGCTCCAACTCCCCACCACAGATAGAAGCGGGGGCCACGGCTCATCATAAGTGGTCCCCGCCCACCATGAAGCACCCCGGGTCCGGCTCACCCGCCAGGAGGAAATGTAAGCTGTGATTGAAAGTTACAAATCTGAATTGCTCCTAGTTGGACTTTTCTGTTCAATAATTTTCCATGTTTCCATTTTGGGAAATCTTGAATTCTGTTCCAGCTGTACTAACAGTTGACAAAAGACTTTTCAAGCTTGTCAATACTGAAAGTGGCTGAAGTTTTGACAGTTTAAATGTACAAACCAATAGCTGTGAGTTATGCTTCATGTCAAAACAGTGTGTGCTCAACAAGTGTTGGTAATGTTTTGTATCAGTTTTCGATTAAACCTTATAGGGTTTTCTCAAAAATGCAGAATTTAAGGAAGAATGAAGTCTGTTTATTCTGTTCTGTTTTCCACTGAAGTGAAAATCGAATTGAAATTGAGATCCTAGAATATTGTTTTCTCGGAATATACAGCATTCACTGAGCTGAAACTTCATCAGATTAGTTGTTCAGCAACCATCTTTCGATTTTGAGCACCTTTGTTGCTTCAAATGAAAAAAATGCACAAATGACAAATGATCTCGACCCTACCTTTTTTAAGTACAGAAAATATTCCATTGGATTGCTGCACAATAGTGGATGTTAGATTTATTCTTGGGAAAGTTCCTTGCCAGGGGGACGCTGAGTCAATACACAGTCCATGCTCGGCCTCGGGAACAATAACAAATCAGTCTCTCCATTTCCAGTGTCCTCACCGGCAAGAATATCCCCTCTGGCTTTCAACAACCCAACTGCCCTCCCAACGATAATGGGATCGCCCACCAAGAGAGGGGACAAGGTATCGTCGCCCATGAGGACAGAAGACATCATTTTAGAAGGGGTAAGATTCTTTGAGTTACTGCCGCTTGTAGCTTGACTGGTCAGGTGTTCTCCAAAGAACTCCAAGCTTGATCTTGACCTTAATCAATGTTTCTGTAAAACTGTGATCACAAATACCTAGGGCTGTTGTTGCATGTAAATGTAGAAAATAGGGCTAATGTAGAAATCCATACATGGGGAGGGTAGCTGGAGAGTTGAGCTATTGTCAGTTTTGACTTCAAAATTGACTTCAGATTAACAAATTGCTCTTTTTCCCCCCATCCAGCCTCTCAGCGCCCCCTTCGCCAGACCCCAGCGCACCAAGACCTTTTCTGGTGCCATCGCTGGCTACGATGGGGAGGACTGTTCCCCTAGGGAGACGGCCCTCTTCCCCCGCAGTGCTAGCTCCAGCAGGCTGGACCAGTACTCACTCAAGGCTGCCTTTGAGAGCCTGGGCAAATCCCCCGCGGGGAGCATCGAGGGACTTGCAGGTACAATACCAGCTTCATTTCAATGCAGAGTTAACCAGTTTGCGTCGGAGGCCGTGTTAACACGCACTGGCTGTTTTTTACACAGGCACGGCTGACGTGTTAAAACTTCAAGCATGCCTCGCCTCGCCTCTGGGTGACGTCTAAACACGCTAGTCCCTCGTGCCTTTTGTACAAACTCAAAGTTTGTGAAGTCTGTGGAAATGGACCGTGTGTTCATCTTGATTTGGCCGCTGTGCACAGCCTATTGATCCACAATTTATTCTCCGTTGCACACCCCGGCTTGTTGAAAAATATGAGGTTTCGGCAAAAAAATATCGTACAAATACTGTTGTGATGACTCTTGCAAATCAGTATTTGTGGCGTTTGGCTGTATGTCAGAAGTTGGCTGCTGTGTTTGCCTTTTTCGAAAATCAAACCTTTTGGCAAAATAATGCCGGTGAGAACTGGTAAATATGTGAGGCATTCTGGCAAAATGAGACAAACACTGGACAGGGGTTGAAATGAGGATTTGAAAGTAGCAGGAAAGAGAATAAGATTCTACTTATAATACTGTTTGCTGCTTGAAGTTCGCATTTATCGACATGTCCACCCCAAAAAAATAGTAAGAAAAAGGCCTTTAAAGTTTTCAAGTTTTGTTGTCTTGAAAGTAAAAGATGCCAATTTGTTTTCCCTAAAAACACTTTAACTCCACGATTACAATACTAAATACTATTTCTTTAAAATATGTATAGTAGATGTATCAAAGATTTATAACAATTCATCTGAAAATCAAGTTAGGTTTTGCCCTTCACCGATGTTTAAACACTGTATACTCAGTGTGTTACCTCCCGAGTGAAAGTTGGAAAGGGCAAAACCTAATTTGATTTATATCACCCCGACGCAAAATTCCATCTCATAATAATCTGAAAATCGAAAAAAATTGTTTTGCTTTTGGTTTCAGCTGCGCTTGCCACCAGCCCGCCCACCAGTGCCAAGTTCTACATCGGCAGCACGTCGCGTCGCAACTCAGCCCTGATGTCGGAGGGCTCCCCCAACAGTCAGAGTTCCATCACCTACGCGGCGTCACCGCCCAACATGATGGGACCCATCATGTTTGTTGCCCCTGAACTGCCAGAAGAAACACTCCTAGAGGTGGGTTCTGTTAACAGAATCGTACAAAAGCAAATTTCAAATCTTCAGTTTCAATGTGACATTCACCGCCACCCAAACGAATTTGTATGCTAGCTTAATGACCTAGCATATTTTCCTGGGGCAGTATAATGTCTTGTGTCTGCACTTGTTAACAAAAAAATGAACTCTTACGGCATTTTGAGGAGTTTAAAAAGAAGTAATTTACTAGCTGCTTAGTTTAGTGTAGCCACTGATTTGACAATGTGTTTGCTTGTATTAGTTTTGGTCTACAGCAGCCATTTTCCTCTTTTTGTTTCATTCTCAAAAATGAAAACAGTTCCAATGACTTGTAAAGCTTCAAATTCCTTGTAAAGTTTCAAATTCCTTCAAAAGCTTCAAATTCCTTCTTTTTTTTTTTTTTTTTTTTTTTTTTTTTGCTACCCAGATTATGTTTGTTTAATAGTTTTTGCACATTTCAAATTCCAACTGTCTCATTTTGTTAAAGCTATAGTCCATCATTTGTAACTAGTGCATTTTGTTCGTTTGAAGCAACAAAAGTGTTCAATATCTAATGAAGGATACTGAACAACTTACTTGATGAAGTTTCAGCTCAGCTTCATATTCCAAGAAAAACGGCATTCTAGGATCTCAATTTCAAATCAAAAGTTGCTAAATCATGTTTCGAATTGTTTTGAATTGCAGCTTTACGCGATGTCGCGCACTGATCCGACGAATTATAGCAACCGCGCGCGCCTGTGCGTCGTTCCAATGCTTGTACGCGCTGCGCCGAATAACAAAACGAATTACTAAATTAAATTTTCCTACGGTGCTTCTTAAGATGCACCGTTGGAAATGCCTTCTTTCGTTGATTTCTTCAAAATGAGAGCTTGCCAGAAAGAATAATTTCACAGGGAGTTTAGTCCCCTTACCATCTTTCAACCAGTATGTTTTTCAACAATAATTACGCCAGTTACTTTTTTGGATAGCTGCAAATGATGGACTAGGGCTTTAAGTCATAATATTAAATATAAACAAGAAATACATCTCACCATAAAACAATATGCATTATCTCCCAAAAAAATGGGCACTCAGAAACAAATTCTGCTGTTGTTCCTCCAGTTTTGTGTGTACCTTTTTTCAAAACTTTTGTTTTTTATGTTATACTCTTTTTTATTTTGTGCGTTGACCAGCCTGAGCATAACGAAACAGTGGAACGCCTTACCACCATCCTGCACATAGTAGACGCCATCATTGAGGTGGCCCAGCAGCGCAGCGACCCGTTGGCTGAGTCTATCTATGGTGGGGACATTGACATTGGTACGGGGGAGCAGGTGTGCTTCGTCAGCGAAGGCTACAGGTATGAACAAAATAAATATATATATAACTTAAAGGGAAAATACAACATTTGCAAACATCAACAATAAAACTACCAAATCATTTTGAAATACCTTGCTGGACTGTTAGTGAATGACAGTGTAAAGCATCCTGTAAAATCATGGCACCTGGTATACTGTCATTTTCAACAAAAGTGGTATTTTTGTATCAATTTCCAACGCTGATCGGCCGATCAGCGTTGGAGACAACTGGCTTTTTTTTTCAAATACTGGCCCCAATTGACCATCGCACTTGTTTGCAATCGATTACAAACCTATGAACGGGAACAAGCCAGCTAGACTGGTTCCCTGACCTTACAATTCCCCAATGTATGTAAACTGCTCTGTTCTTCTTATATGGAGTCAGGGTTTTTATAGCAAAAAAAGTCAGTGTAACTATATTTGCTATATATTTCCAACCCCCCAATTCCATCCATTTCTGAAAATTACAGCAAAAGCAAATGATGTATATTCCCTTTAAAGCTGTGCATGACGGATAACATTAAATAGACAAAATTGAAGGTAAGTGGAAAGAAATCTCTTCTTGGAGGAAGTGTGGTTCTGGAAAGAACCGGTCGGTGAGTGTAGAACTCGACGTTTCGGACAGTGTGCTCTGTCCGTCGTCACCCTCACCCTCCAGAGGACAGACAGAGCACACTGTCCGAGTGGTCCAGTTCCACACTCAACCAATCGGTTCTTTTCAGAACCGCACTTCTTCCGAGAAGAGATTACTTTCCACATGGTGTTACCCGCAGTCTTTGTCTATTTAACAAACTGAATCGTAATTTCTTTTTCCTGTTAGGGCATCCTTTCTAATTCTTTGGTTCTCATTTCTGACCCGCACTATTTTGGGCTCCCGACCCAAGAAAAAAAAAGGGTTATTACTTCCGACTGTCTGGAACCCCAACTCCCAAAGTGTTTAGTTCGTGGCTTACCATCTATCATTGGACTGTATCGTTGAGGCTTATATTACCCTGGTCAAATGATTGTTTTGTTTTCATTTTCATCATTAAGAAACACCATGGAACTAGCCTTGCCAGTTGTTATATTTTTGTTGGCATGGTTTCCTCTGTAATTGTTAATGCAAATTCTGAATTACTATTGGTGTAGTGTACTGTGATGGCATCAGTACTGTGACATCATCGAGAGGAAATAGGATTTGTTTTCAGTTAAATATTTTTGCTGAAATGAGTTTTTACATGTATGTAGTAAATATTTACATTTACTTTGCCTGTTGGTATCGCTCATGATTTAACAGAGGGCGCCCTGATTGGAACACATTGTTTTTACCCTTGTTACACTGACAGGAGGGCAGAGCAGGTGGTGTTGTATGCCCGAGGGTTGGAGCTTCTGTCTGCCGCCCTGGAAATGGCTAAAACGGAAATCCTGGCCCAGAGACTGAAACCCTCAAATGCAGTACGCAATGGTGAGTGGATTGATAGATTATTAGACATTAAACCATTGCTATGACGTCGCACTATTGTTAAAAGTGTGGATTCGGAACTACGAATCTGTTACGCTGGTCACAAAGTGTGGATTTAGAACAAAGAATCTTTAGTAAAGTGTGGATTCGGAATTACGAATCCACACTTTGAACACGTCAGACAATTGTTCTCTATAATGAGCATTAATAGGACCGTATGCTTGAAAATTTCCTTCTGAAATTACCAATGCATCTTCCCTGTCAGATTTTCTGCCGTCACTGCAAAACCTACTTCGAGTCAGAAAGAAATCATCGTCTGAACTATCAATTTGTCAACGGAAGGAGCCGGGACAAATGTTGCAACCTGACGCCACTTTTTTTTCTCCATATATCATCTCAATGAAGGGCATTCATTGCAAAAATGATGATAGACATGAATCTGGGACTGAGAAATATTTCCAATTTTGTTGAAATTTATTTGAAATACTTTAAAAAAAATCTTGACTCTAGACTTTGTACACAATCGCGGAAGTGGCGTCAGGTTGCAACATTTATCCAAAGTCTTTTCATCTCCACTCACTGTTAATGCCAATACTTCTTTTGACGCAATGGTTTAAGTCGAAGAATACACTCGCAAGTGTGGATTCTTAATTTAGGAATTCACTCGGCACTTCGCGCCTCGTGAATTCTTAAATTACGAATCCACACTTTCTTGTGTATTCTCCTTAACTGACATGTCATAATGTCAATATTACTGCTGTCGTGTGTGATACGCCGTTTTTGGCAAGAAAGGGTGCACCTGAACAAGAAAGGGTGCATTTTGACTACTTTTGACACCCTTGGATGGGACACAGTTTAAAAAACAAACAAAAAGTTAGTACTATTAAAACATTGTCCTTTGCCCCAGTTGTCACGGCGCTGAATGACCGGTACCACCAATGCCTCGGCCGGTGCCGCAGCCTGTACGACAGGAACATGAGCCGGGCTCGGGACGTGGAGAGAGACCGGTCCCTGATCACCGCCGACAAACTCATGTACAACTACGCAGTGGAGCTGTGTCAGAGTACCGGGCTGGACGAGTTGTTTGGCAACCCGCAGGAGGTAATTGATGTAATGATAATCGTCTAAAGCCCGGTTTGTACTTCATGCGAAAGTTAAGCGTAATTCGTGACATCAAACAATACGTTTGAAGCGTGTCCACCATTATTGGCGCACTTGCTTTCGCATGAAGTATGAACCGTGCTTAACTGTGATTGTGATGCCACTGTCTCTAGATCATAGAGTGATATTAAATTGCTATAGAACTTAAAGATGGTATATACGTGTGGTTTTTTTTCGAAATTTCGATTTTCTTTTCCGAATTAAATATAAAGGAATATAATGACCTGCAACAAATAAATTTGCTTGTTTATTTTTGCAAGCCTTTAGGCCAAAAAAAAATGTTTCTGGTATGCGCGCGCATCGCCGTAGCCATGCGCATTGACAAAATGAAAAAGTTTTTTGTTCAATGAAAGATGATGTCTCAAAACCGCCAAACTCACTGGTTTGACTGGAATCCTGCTGCTGCACAATTTTAATGTGTTTTTGGATGGGGTTATGATCGAGAATAAACTTTATGTGGCCTCTCTGGACTCCCATATATTTGCACTAAGTTTAGTCGGGCACCATTTGCAGTCATCAGCCGACATTTGAGGCAAAACAAATCAGGTAAAAAAAACCAGAAAAGCCGCGTCGCCGCACCACTTTTTGGGCAAGCTCCATACCAGGCACCGGAGACTTTTTTTTTGGGCCTTATACAGATCTCAAAAGTGGTTTTAAATGGCTCGCTCCAGTTCAGAATTAGGAGCGTCCCGCTCTTAATTCAAAAGTATACATTATTTAATTGATTACTTGTCGTGGGCTGATTTGTTTGTGGTGTGTCTCATTGGAAAGATTATCAATTCAATTTGAGAAACTATTTTTCCACACCCAAAAAGCATGTATACATCAACTTTAACTCGCCACATACAAAGTAACCTGCTGGATGCATCCATGTTTGTGCACAAACCTTTGGAAAGCTCCAAATTTGGTACGGCTGTCGAACAGCTTTTGCCATTCTTATTTGAAACTGTCATGTGTAAGCGAAGCCGATTACCCCTGCTTCAATTTTCAAACCTTGTCTTAAATTACTGTTCACATCTCTTACAGACTTTCATGTCAATTTGGGCGATTCACAATGCAGTGCGCCACCAAGAGTTTGCCACGCAGAGTCCATTTTTCAAGTTTACAATCGACAAAACACAGCCCATTTGAATGAATGTCAGTAGACAACTTCAGCTAATTCGTTAAAGATCGGGGCATAGCGTTCTGCCGCCTTACAAACAACACCATCTTGATAAAATGAAAGGAAAAGAGCAAACGTACACTGGAATCATACACTTACGAAACTACTGACCAGACAATTTCAAATGTGTGCGCTGCGAATTTGTCGACCATCTCCCACAATGCACTAGTAAAAATGAACTCTCCGTGGCAAACTCTTGGCGGCGCACTACATTGTGAAACGTCCAAATTCTTTCGTCATAGAGGTTAACATTGTGGCTTTTCAAATGCCAAGTAAATAAACTGGAACATTCTGCTTCATCTTATGAGTAAGATTTGGTTGCGGTACCCGCTGCTATATCAGATTCCAACCAGCCAGCTGCTCCTGTCTGCACTAGTAAGCAGGAGGTCGTGGGTTCGATTCCCGCCTCAAGTAGTTTGTGAATTTTTCTCACAATCACTCAGGTCAACACTGAGTATGCAGTGTTTATATAAAAAATACATGTACATCAGTGAAGGTCAAAACCCTGACGCAAAAAAATCTTGTGAATAACTTTCTGTTTGTTGTTTCTGTTTTCGTTTTCCCCTGCAGTGTGCAAGTCGTTACCACACTGCCCAGTGGCTACTGCATGGGCTGTGCCTCCAGGCGACATCAGACAATGATAGGGAACTACTTTTGAAATGTAAGTTGGTAGACTCTTACAATTATATTCTTCAAAAGTTATCCTTAAAATCTTGATATTAGGCCAAAAAAAATAAAAAATTCGGTCTCTGGTCAGACCAAAGTAAGTGACGCAGCTACGCGGCTTTTTTTTTTTTTTCTTCAAGCTTGGATTGTACAGACAAGGTGGGTACTATTTTGCTTTTTTGGTGTCCTCATGTACATTGGTGTCCTCCATAATTTGCCTTGGTGCTTTCGATCATTTGCCTTGGTGCAATTTCCCATTCCTTGGTGCTCTTTGGTAAAAAAAAAAATGAGGAGGTGCGGAAATAGAGGGCGCTGTTGGAGCTACCGCGGAACATTTTGGGGAAAAAAAAGATCGACGCGCATGATTAAAATCGACGCGCGCGCTGACCAGAGACCGACTTATTTTTTTTTTTTGGCCTTACCTTAGATTTGGAATGTTGTTCTTTAGTTAACAGTTGATACTTTATAAATAATATTCATGCTTTTTTTTATTTATATCTTGCCACAGACAAACTGTTACTCGATCAAAGAATCCTACATCTGGAGAAGCAGCCCAGCCCTGCACTGGCCTCACTAGCCACATCATGAGGCAACCAAGAAGGGGGACAAGGGAACTTGGACGAAGAAAACTAGCAGTCCAGAAAACACCAATCCTAAACAAGATCCGGGATCAGACGGAGTGACTGTTCATCTGTTGCTTAATTGCTCCAGATGCTTTTATAAATTATCTTCGAGCTGCCGAGGAGAAGAACAACAAACGCCTAGCAAAGGTTACTTGCTTTAGCAAAAGTCAGCTTACTTTGTTACTTGCTTCAGCAAAAGTCAGCTTACTTGGTTACTTGCTTCAGGTTACTTGCTTAAGCAAAATTTGGTTTTAAGCGCCGAATTGTATTTTGCAGTTTTTGCTGGTTACCCAAGTTATGCTGAGCAAAAATCTGTTTTCATGTTGAGCAGATTTCTGTGCTTGTGGAAAACCAATGTGGAAGTAATGATCAAAACTGAAATTGGTGCTGTTTTTTTTTCCATCTGGCTAACGTGTTTATGTTATACATGTAGAGAGCTCAGCTGTGAGGGACGCGCCCTTTGCGCAGTGTGGTTCATGCGTATGCGCTTTGTCTAATGCGGGCAAGTTAAGCCACGATGGCCTTGGTGAAAGGCTAGCGTTGTCGGCAATGCTTATGAATGCCCCTCTCAGTGGTTTCCCGCCAACACTGCTTTTGGAACCGTTGAAGGGGTGTTTGTGCATGTAGTCCACACCAATAATACTTGTGCATTGGTTCGGGTTGACCAGGCCAAACTGACCCGAAACGTTATAGGTATAAACCGAGTTCCATCAACCAGATTTTGGTTTATTTCGGGGTTTTCCAAAATGGCTTAACCAACTCGAACATTGCATAACCGAAACAGACCCGATCCAACTGAAATGATGAGCAAACCGACCCAACCCGACCCGAAGTCGGTTTCGGGTCGGGTAGGTTTCGGTTTGAGGTCCGTTTTGCACAATATTAATATATGCCAATGCTGCTATGGACTTTAGTCTTGAGTCGGCCATATTGAATAGAAAGCAAGGTGAAGTCTTCATTTTTCTGAATTTGCGAGTAGAAATGAAAGCAATAAAATACCAGTTCGTTATGAATTAATACCAGTCTGCCCTGATGAATAATTAAAAATTTGTGATTAAACATACCCTAATGTTTTAAAAGCCACATTTAAAACAAAATTTAAAAAGGAAGGTATGTTTTCCTCCAAGTAGACAGGTTTACGTTGTACTTGTTTTCATCGTGGAATATTCATTTTGGCAGTTTCTTGAATTCAGTAGAGGTGCTTGATGACATTAACACAAATAATTATCTGATTAGAATAGTCAGTTACTTGAAACGAGCTTCCCAAAACAAATTGTGTGTACAAATATAGTTTGGTGTTGCCAAAAAAAAGTTTGTTACGGGTCGTAACAAACTCTAGACCATTAGATTCCAAACTACTAGTAATGTATCTTTTTGAGCTACTTTGCTAACACATAATACAGAAGAGGATTTGAACCTCCGATCTTTGAAGTAAGATTTGGATGTGTATCTCTGTGTAGATTAATTCTTGAATGATTGCACATTCCTAAGGAGGAGTGATGCCAACTCATTGGAGTTTGAACCTGTGTGACTGTTAAAGGTGCAGTCCATCATTTGTAATTTGTGCATTTTGTTCGTTTGAAGCAAGAAAGGTGCTCAAAATCTAAAGAAGGGTGCTGAGCAACTAACCTGATGAAGTTTTCAGCTCGGCTTCAGCTGTATATCTCGAGAAAAAAAACATTCTAGGATCTCGATTTCAAACTAAAAGCTGCTGAATCATGTTTTGAATTGGGCCTGAATTCAGCGTCCGAGACACGTTCTCACTGAGCCAATTGCAGCTACGTGATGTCACGCACTTGTCCGACAAATTAAAGCAACAGTGCGTGCGTGTGCATCGTGTCAACGCTTGCGCGCGCTTTGCCGAATAAGAAAACAAACTTCTAACAGAAATTTCCAACGGAAAGGCCTTCTTTCGTTGATTTCTTCAAAATGACAGCATGCCAGAAAGAATAATTTCACAGGAAGTTTAGTCCCCTTACTATCTTTCAACCAAGCATGTTTTTCAACACTAATTACGTCAGTAACTTTTTGGGTAGCTGCAAATGATGGACTGTAGCTTAAAGTCAGATGTCAAGCTAGAAGTTTTATTTTAAACAAGTCTGCTTGCCTAAAAGTGCTGATGGAGTTCGAGTGGATGAAGTGAATTGGTTTAAGGCATTATAGTTTGGTTGCATTGTGAATTTGATTTTCAGTGTGTGGGAGTGAAGCTATGAAGAGTGACTGAGAAGTAAAAATGTTTTGAACATAGAATGTGAGGAATATTTATTCGTTTTCCCCAATTAATTTGTATTATTCTCTTTGTTTCCCATTTTATTTGTGTAGGGGATGCATTAAAGTGTTTACATTTTTTTAAAATAAAGGATACTGCATGCTTGAACATTTTTGCCGATTTGTATTCCCTGTGTGTGAATTCTGAGATGTAGAGATGTTTTATTTCTACTTGCTGGAGCGGAATTGTAAAACAAAAAACGAAAACGACTGGTACTTTTGTTGGACATTCGTGAAGAACAGTATTTATAACTGGCATTTCTGTTTTTTATTTATTTGTTATTTTTTAGTTCTAAAGTTTTACTAATGTACCTCACACAGTTAGGTATCGAGATTGCGTCAGTCATACGACAATTACAGGGCGTATTTTTGCTACTAAAATTCAGTATTTTAGTATTTGACAGTTTTACCCTGCTGCAATGTGTTAGCGCCGTTGTTGATGTTTGCAGTTTCTGTGTTGAATGCCAAGTTTATGTCCTTTGGTTGACCGTGTAATTATAATGTGGATATAATTTATTTCTTGTACAATAGCCATTATTGTTTCACTGATAAACATATTTGCCATGGCTTTGTTTTCATGTATATTATGTCCGTATTTGTTTGTTTGAAGATTAAATTATTGTCAAAGTTTTGTGATTTTTTTTATTTCCCCAATTTTTTTATGAAGGGGATTTTTTTTTCCAATGTGGAAAAAATGAAGGGATTTTTAGGGCATTGTAATGTTATACATTTGTGTAATTGTTTAAAAACTGTGAATTTAAAAGTAAATTTTTGGATTGTTTCAATGTCCGCGTTTATTGTATAAAACTTAAAACATTTATGATCATGTTTGAATTATCAAATGTATTTACCATTGTTGGTAAACTGGAAGAAAATCTGCTCCAATGTTGCAACACAATTTTATCAATATGTAAAAGTAGCAATGTCTCCAAAATGTGATTTTTAAAAAGTTGTTTTTTTGTGTGTAAATAACTGAGAACGACCAAAAACTTGAAGATTGTAAATAGACGATGCAAGTGGGTAGGGTGTGGAACAAAAATAAAACATATAAACAAATAGAATTGGCCTTGTTATGTGTGTACATTGATTTCATTTGGCATTTTTCTGGATCATTATAAGGCATTTGATACAACAGATCACGATATTCTCATGAGTAAACTAAAAACAAATGGTGTCAGAGTCACTCGTGTTGATTGAAGATCATTACTTTAAAAATAGGGGGAAAAATTGTCAGTAAAGACCATTTACGAATCAATCCAGTAAGCACCGCCCAAGGTATTCTGACCAATCACAGCCGTGATTTATGTCCGACATTGCGTGCACAAAAGTCCGACATGCGTGCACGCGCGTATGATGCGTGCGGCAGGAAAATGCAGTGGGAGGGGCTTACTGGATCGGTCCATTCTAGGGCCCATCTTGCTTCTTACTGATATTTACGATATGTGTACTTCTACCCGACTTCTGACGTTCATCTTATTTGCAGATGATGTAGTGCCAACAATTGAAGCGAGGCTGTTAACTTCATCAAGAGATGACTAACTAAGAGATAACTAAGGTTTGCAGAAACAAGTTATCTTGAATTTAAAGAAAATACATACAGCTTCTACGAATCAAAGTGTGGATAAAAACATTCGGATTCGTTTCAACAGTACTCTCACTGAACAGGTTGATTCAATAGTTTTGGGTGTCATTATTAATAAGTTAATTACCTGGAGAAATCATTGTTAAGTTAACGTGGAGAAATAATTGTTGGAAAGTCCTCACAAGTTAATTTCTCGCAACCTTGGTTCCGTTATCGTTGTCTCGTCTCCAATATGTATACCTATGGGGAAACACGAAACCTACCTTGATAAATTGTTCATTATTTAGAACAAAATGCTTAAGATTAATTATCAGTTTTAGTTTTAAAGATCACTCCGATATACGTCAAATTCAACACATATCTTTATATGATCTCCATAAATATTATGTGTGCTGTAAAAAAAGTACATTTCCTTTTCAATATAAAATCTGGGGTTTTTTTGTAAGGAGCACTGCAACGGTGGATCCAGGAAGGGGGGGGGAGGACAAAGACGGTTGACTTCCATTAGGATTGTATTTGTTGCAAATAAAATCCTGTATTGTTACGGTCATAATAGCTTGATAATTGACGCTTTTTTTCTGAAATTAAATCTTTTGATGCCAAACATCATGACAAATGAGTGTACGAAAATTCATTTTAATGTAAGGTGTATTTCTTGAGTTGTTGGCCCAAAATCGGGTTAGGTGGTGGAGATCGAGATCACTATAATAGAGGGCGCGCCACATAAATAGTGGTCTTAACAACGCATCAACACGGATGCTGCACAAGTGAAGAAAAAGAACAACCTCGTTTCCGATGAACTACTCAAGAAATACAAAATAGATTAAATTGAAATTTCGTGCAATTAGTTTACACGATGTGTAGCATGAGTAGTTTGAATGGCGTGAGGAACCGTGGAGCTATAAATATAATATGATCGTAATAATCTAGTGTTTTAAACCTTAAAAAACCATTTTGACTTCCATTAGGATTGTATTTGTTGCAAATAAAATCCTGTATTGTTACGGTCATAATAGCTTGATTAATTGACTTTTTTTTTTCTGAAAAGAAATCTTTTGATGCCAAACATCATGACAAATGAGTGTACGAAAATTCATTTTAATGTAAGGTGTATTTCTTGAGTTGTTGGCCCGAAATCGGGTTAGGTGGTGGAGATCGAGACCACTATAATAGAGGGCGCGCCACATAAATAGTGGTCTCAACAACGCATCAACACGGATGCTGCACAAGTGAAGAAAAAGAACAACCTCGTTTCCGATGAACTACTCAAGAAATACAAAATGGATTAAATTGAAATTTCGTGCAATTAGTTTTCACGATGTGTAGCATGAGTAGTTTGAATGGCGTGAGGAACCGTGGAGCTATAAATATAATATGATCGTAACAATCTAGTGTTTTAAACCTTAAAAATCCATTTTGACTTCCATTAGGATTGTATTTGTTGCAAATAAAATCTTGTATTGTTACGGTCATAATAGCTTGATTAATTGACGTTTTTTTCTGAAATGAAATCTTTTGATGCCAAACATCATGACAAATGAATGTACGAAAATTCATTTTAATGTAAGGTGTATTTCTGGAGTTGTTGGCGCGAAATCGGGTTTGGTGGTGGAGATCGAGACCACTATAATAGAGGGCGCGCCACATAAATAGTGGTCTCAGGAAGGGGGGGGGGAGGACAAAGACGGTTGACTTCCATTAGGATTGTATTTGTTGCAAATAAAATCCTGTATTGTTACGGTCATAATAGCTTGATAATTGACGCTTTTTTCTGAAATTAAATCTTTTGATGCCAAACATCATGACAAATGAGTGTACGAAAATTCATTTTAATGTAAGGTGTATTTCTTGAGTTGTTGGCCCAAAATCGGGTTAGGTGGTGGAGATCGAGATCACTATAATAGAGGGCGCGCCACATAAATAGTGGTCTTAACAACGCATCAACACGGATGCTGCACAAGTGAAGAAAAAGAACAAACTCGTTTCCGATGAACTACTCAAGAAATACAAAATAGATTAAATTGAAATTTCGTGCAATTAGTTTTCACGATGTGTAGCATGAGTAGTTTGAATGGCGTTAGGAACCGTGGAGCTATAAATATAATATGATCGTAACAATCTAGTGTTTTAAACCTTAAAAAACCATTTTGACTTCCATTAGGATTGTATTTGTTGCAAATAAAATCCTGTATTGTTACGGTCATAATAGCTTGATTAATTGACTTTTTTTTTTCTGAAAAGAAATCTTTTGATGCCAAACATCATGACAAATGAGTGTACGAAAATTCATTTTAATGTAAGGTGTATTTCTTGAGTTGTTGGCCCGAAATCGGGTTAGGTGGTGGAGATCGAGACCACTATAATAGAGGGCGCGCCACATAAATAGTGGTCTTAACAACGCATCAACACGGATGCTGCACAAGTAAAGAAAAAGAACAACCTCGTTTCCGATGAACTACTCAAGAAATACAAAATGGATTAAATTGAAATTTCGTGCAATTAGTTTTCACGATGTGTAGCATGAGTAGTTTGAATGGCGTGAGGAACCGTGGAGCTATAAATATAATATGATCGTAACAATCTAGTGTTTTAAACCTTAAAAATCCATTTTGACTTCCATTAGGATTGTATTTGTTGCAAATAAAATCCTGTATTGTTACGGTCATAATAGCTTGATTAATTGACGTTTTTTTTCTGAAAAGAAATATTTTGATGTCAAACATCGTGACAAATGAGTGTACGAAAATTCATTTTAATATAACGTGTATT